TCACCTTCTTCCACTTGCGGTTGCTGTCGCTGTCGTCGGTCTGAGAGCCCTCGCTGCCCCTCCAGTCCTCGTCGGTGTCGTCGTGTTCGGCTGCAGAACAGCTGGAGGAAGCTCCGTCATCGTCCTCCTCCTTCGTCTGGTCCTGCTCAGCTGAAGTGCTCGGCAGAGGATCTCCTTCTCCTTTAGCGCTCCGATAGCCGGACTGAGGCTGGTCGTTCTCGTTCTTCACGTACGGAGGAGTGAAGATGAACCTGATGGTTGTATCCTCATCCAGCTCCTGAAGCGGCTCTGCCTCCTGGCTGGCGGGGAGGTCATCCCGGCTCTTTTCAGTTTGCAGCGGCTCCTGGTCGTCCTGGTCCAGACCGGAGCTCCACTCCTGATCACCGTGTTCCTGCTGCTGGTCGGAGGGGAGGTCATCGTCCCAGACGGACAGAGCCAGCTGTGGTGGGTCTGCAGGAAAAATAACCAGGAAGAAACTTAATAGATTATGAACCAGAATATTTAGAAATATGGTGCATTTAAGAGCCACGTTGTAAATGATTTATTTTATCTAGATGTATTGATCTCTTCCAGCTAACATTTCCTTTTATTGCTAATTTATCTGCCTATTACTAACCTTTTTAATTAATTAAATGTGACCATCATTATGACTCTCTAAAGCCTAGGGTGACACCTTAAATGTTTTATATATAAATTGATGATTTGATTTATTGATATATTTATTACCTTACAATTGTGACATAGGTTCCTCTCAGATATATTTTGTTTTCTTAAATTTCTATGCTTATTTCTCACACAACTTTTAGAGCACATCACTTTGTGTTTCACTACTCATATTGCTTGTGGACGTAACAAAGAAATAATCCTCCTTAAATTGTTTGTTTTGTCTGACCAACGGTCCGAAACCCAAAGATATTGAGTTTGTATTAACATAAAACAAAGAAAAGCAGCAAACAATTAAGAAACTCGAACAAGAAACATTTTGTATTATTGTTTCAAAAAATTAATATAAAAACACTTGCCTACAAATTTAATTGTTTTAGCTCTACTTCCAACACAAATCAGAAATAATGTTGCCCCTGAAGTAAAACAATAAACTGATTTTCACATGAAGAATTAAAGTGAATATTAAAGTTTGACCATGATGCTTTTTTTTTTTTAAACTGAGGCGTTCAGAGCTTCAGAAAGCTGAATTAAAGTTTTTTCATCTCTGCAGCGGATTAAATAAATGTAAGAGGTTACAGAGAAAACAATCTCCCTGCAATTTCTGTAACATGACAAAATCACCAGAAAAGATTTATGCCACACTTTGACCGAAGTCCAAGCAAATATCTAAATACCAGTCAGACTAAACTCACAATTTTAATGAAAATATGAACATTTATAGTGATGATAAAAGTAAATGGAAATGTCAAACCTCAGAATATGTTACTATATTATGTAAACAAAAGTCTGTTTTCATGTGTCCACAAACTATAAATGTTCATCTTCATTTCACCATTTCAGCTGAGAAATAAATTTTGTGCTCCATAATATTCCGTTATATTTCTATTAAACCTGTGAAGGCCACTAAATGAAGCTACGCCTCTTTGCCAAACAAGCTTTGAAAGTAAAAACGAGTTTTTCCTTCTAACTTATCTGGTTTAGAAAAGTCAACTATCAACGTGGGAATATATAACTGCCACGCGAAATGTCATTATTTTTTTTTATAAAAAGATATATTAACTTTATCATTCGGGATGCAATCAATAATGTCAATCGATCCACAGCGCTGGATATTTTTTGTTTATAAAATCTACTTCTCCACCGATCAGACAGTCGTGTGTCATCAAAATAAGTTGCGTGGTGGCTGCTGATGGTGATCACGCAGTATAAAAGTAAACTTTTATCTAAATGTAGAGCTGCTTGGAGAAACATTCATAAGCCGAACACAAAAGTAAACCATAACAATGATGAATATGTATTAAATCGTGGCCTATTACGTATATACATTTGCAGACACACAAGCTAAATTAGTTTTTGTTAATATGTCAACGGAGTTTGGCGACGTTCTTTCCATTAGGCAAGAATGCTCCTACCCCGGAAGGGCCTGGTGAATACGAGCCACGTTAACCTGGTGATGAACCTGCTCTAGCGTGACTCACATTGAGCCACCAGTTCATTATTGACTTATAACGGAATTTAAAGGTGAACATAATCCAGCTAAACTCACTAAACATGTAACTATCTCCAGTAAAGTGGGCGTTGACGAGGCTCATGATGGTAATAGCGTTTCAGTGCATAGTCGGCGCCAGACATCTGGAGTAGACGCGGTGAAAGAATGAACGCATGCCAATAACTCACAAACCTGAGAGTTTGTGTATCTTTATTTCAGGTTTTAAAACAGTCTGCAGCACCCTGCGCTGCCGGCGGATCTCCCGTTTGGACAGCAGGATCTCCTCCTCGTAGCCCGCGATGGTTTTCCTGACCGCCTCGAAGATCTCCTCCGCGGCCGCAGACAGCCGCTCGTTAACGAGCACTCTGAGCAGCTGGATGCTGGACATGATGCGCGCGGACACCCTGACAGATGTTCACCGTATCTACCCGCTGATTTCGTTGTGAAAACTGCAGCTCGACGTGCAGCGGCTGGCTCTTGTCAAGTTTGCGCTTTCGATCAGCTGCCGCGAAGTGTTTCCGGTTAGGTCGTATTATTTTCAAAATAAAAGAATGCAGGCGTTTAACTCTTGACTTTTCAACTTTTACATAAAACCAGTGCTGGTGGATGAAGTGTTCGGATCCTTTACTCAAGTAATAGCACCTCACTGTGAAAATACAGTGACAAAGTTCTGCATTTTACTTCATTTCTACTTAAGTAAAAGTTTGTAGTAGTATAATCAGGAAAATGAACTTAAAGTATTAAAAAATAAAAGTACTGAAAGCAGAAAGTCTTATGTGACTGCTTTACTAGTATATTGTATCATTAGATTATTATTACTCATGCATTCATGTAAAAGCAGGATTTTACGGTAGTGCCTTGTTAAGGTACAACTATTTTATATCAGACTGCAATGAATGAGTTTTTTCATGATGGATTAATCAGTGCCGATCAGTGTCTGCATTAATCGATTGTAACAATTCTGAACATAGGGAGAAATGTTACCCACAGTTACCCAGAGCTCAACGTGACACCTTGAATTATTAAAAATACATTAAAATAATCAAAAGGATAAAGCAGCAAATCTTCACGTTTGTGAACCATGAAATGTTTTTACATGATAAATGACTTAAAAGATTATCAACATAGTTGCCAATTGAATTTCTGTCAGTCAACTAATGTACCAGCTCAACTTTTATAAACTAGTTTAGTTTATAACAAAACATCATATTTTATAAACTCTTCATATGTTTTGCGTGTAAAAGTCTTATTTTGCAAAGTAACTGAAGCTGCCAGATAAATGTAGTGAAACGTTTCCCTCTGAGACGTGGTGGAGTAAGTAAAGTACCTCTAGTTTGTACACAAGTACAGGACTTGAGTAAATATACTTAGTTGTCGTCCACCACTGCATAAAAAAAATAAAGATTAATATTCAAATAACACATGGAAGATGTGGAGATGCTTTAAATAGATTTTAGATTGGATGGAAATACCATCTTAAATTGTATTAGCTGAGCTCAAATGTATGTAAATATCTTATATATGTATTTTTATTACTTCCTCTTTTTTTATTTTGATTCATTATGCCTGAGCCTTGATGTGGATTTTCTTATTTGCACCTTTTGATTTATTTGTATGTTAATTTATACATCTATTTGTTGAACTTTGAAAATCTACAATGTTTATGAGATTAGTTATAATTAAATTATTTGCACATATTATATTTTCCTCTGTAACTATAGTGTAGTTCGTTTGTTTTGTTCATCGGTGCCACTATTCCTATTGCGTTTCTTTTTTATATTACCTTGTTTTTTTTTTAATCTAATTTATTGTAAAAGTTACAATAAAGCTGAAGGCTGAACTTTGAAACGGTCCTTAGATCTATTCTTTTAACAGGACAAAATTAAGAATACAAAATTTAAATAAAACAAGACCCATCTGATAAGAAATGTGTGTGTTGCTTCTTTTCTTCAATGCAAAGTACAGCACAAATTATTAAGATTAAATAAAATATTACGAATGTATTTAGAATGATAAAGAAATGTTTATCATTTCATATTATAATACATAGTTATATATTTGTTTTTGGCTTCATTTATACCAATTGTACTTGCTGGTTTGAAGTACTGGCTGTACTAGTTACCTGTTAGGGGCTGGAGACATCATGTGAAGTCAAAAGTCAAATAAATCAGTTTTATGATAATTTAACAGTCTTTAGTACGTATAAATATAATTTTTTTGTGATTGGCCTCCTTTTTGGGATTTTTAATTTTCCTATTCACAATTTCCACATTTAATTCATGCGTGTTTAAATTTCAAAGATGGACGAATGTATTGATAAATCATTTGCTTTGTTGTGTGCAATTACGGTCTGTGAACATCCAGTTAAGATTCGGTGACATTCTGATCATTATTTACAGGGATACATGTGATGAGAAGCTAAATTTCTTCATTTGAACAAATTTTTCACTATATTTGGTTTCGGGGAGAATCTAAACATCAACCATATAAACTAATTTTGCAGTAAAACATTTTATACAACCTTAGATTTCAATAACTAGACATATTGAAGTTATGAAAACACATGGATGTGCTTTGTTTTTCTTCAGGTATCCAGGAAGCTGAAGCCTTTGTTGGGGGATTTGTTCCTCCAATAAAACTAGTTGTTGGCTCTAATGTGGACAAACAAAAAGGAGTTAACTGTCTTGATGTTGACGAGAAACGTGTTATAGCTTTCTGTGAGGCGTGATGTGGTGTTTCCAGTAGATGGCGGCAACTTCCCAAAAAGAAACACCACATAAACTCCTTTTTTTTTTTTTTTTTTTTAAAGCGGCAGTCCAACTAAAAATCACCAAGCAGCGACATCTTGACTCCAACATTCAACATTTTTATTGTGAAAAAGTCTCTCTTCATACCCTCGCCTTGAAACTGTACAATCAATAATTTAAAAAAAAAAGAAAGATAAAATGTTCAGCTTGATGTTTGAAGAACAATCACACACACACACACACACACACACACACAATCTCACACACACACACACACACACACCAGATTAATCAGCAGCTTTTAACCAAAAAACCCAGAATAGTGTTTTACAGGTGTTTTTCTTCTTTTTCTTTTTGCGTCTTAAGTCGTCGTCATCATCACAACAGTCTGCTCTTTTATACAAACACTTCCACAAACAGGCAATATCAGAGGGCATCCCTGAATCTCCCAACATGTCTTTGAAAATCCAAACTCAATTCAGGAGGAACACAATCATTGCAAAGGGGTTCACAAACACTGAGGGGCCCCATACAAAAAAAACAAACAAAGAGGAGACACGTAGAACCAAAAATCATATGAGGAAAACATCTGTAATCACGTAACACAAAGAGGATGGATGTACAATATCAAACAAAACGATATCATTGCACCCAGTGAGGGTTTTTATGCTCTGTGAGTCAGCAGCAACAACAATAATAAAGGCCTTTTCCTGTTCAGCACAGAGAGGGAAACCTCTTTTTATAAAATCTTGGCAACAAGCTCGAGCTAAATTCCTTTTTCGGGCTCATTTTACAGACTTTTAAAAACACGGGTGGTGAGGAATCTAACGCTAACACAAAATACAAGGTGTGCGGCCTGTGTCAGCTGTTTCTAAACCTGTATCTCGCCCTTAAACCAGGGGACACGACCGCAGCCATGAACCAAATGCTCAGACACCAGTTCATTTTTAACCCTCCTTTTACGACCAAACCGTGCGTTTCTACAGATTTTAACCCATTTACTACAAAATCACATGCATCTCTATTTATAAACGTGTTCTTCTTCCGAGTCTTCTCACAGCTCAATGTATCATGGACATTACGAAGAGTCCACGGCAATGCTAACGTGCTGATGTTTAGCAGGTATAATGTTTAAAATGTTCATCTTTGCTAATTGCCACTAACCAAAAAAGAACAGCTGAGGCTGATGGGAATGTTGTTGCAGGTATTTGTTCATAAAATAAAGTGTCTGACAAATGAAAATGTTGAACCTGATGATGGCGCTACATGAAACGTCAGAGGATCACTAAACTTATTACAGTTCATCCCGAGGTGAACAAAAACGTCTGAATCGTCACAATCCATCCAAACACAATCCAGATTTTCAGTTTGGACCAAAGTGGAGGAGAAACATCGCAGACATCAACATCCTCAAAACAAACACCGTGAAAAAAATAAAAAATAAATCTCAACTCTGAACATGTGCAACCAGCGAGTGAGCTTTAGGGCCACAAGCAGAACCGGGCCCACTGATCATGTGTAGTAAACGGGCTAAAGCAACTTAATAGATTGGTCTTGGCTACACTGCTTTAATCTGACTCTGGATCAGTGGAAGTCTCTTTCTAAAGCGTTTTCACCGCACGAGTCTGGAGGCAAAGACAGCTCCCTGAGATTAGACAGAGGAGTGGGCTGAATGGACTGGACCGGGTTTAGGGGGACAACCCCACTTAACACCTGAGGAGAAAATGTGGCGTGAAAGCCAGCAGGCGAATTCTACAGAGAAAGGAAACAAGACAGAAAGCAGGACCACTGGTGAAGACGAAGAAATAAACCAGTGTAGAAGACAGGAGGAGGAAAGAGCGGCGAGGTGGAGACGGAGCAGGGGCGTGCTGATGATGAAGCCCTCCAGAGATTTACAAAAAGAGCATCTATTATTCAGCAGCTATGAATCATGGGACAGCATGCGGAGGCGGCAGCGGCGGCGCAGAACAGAGGGAGAGAGAGAGAGAAGGAGACGACGAGATGCATTAATCCCTGCGGGAGATCCAGTCAGAGTCGTTTAAAAAGCAGCGAATCGGAAGAGTTCACGTGTTCGACCTTGGTTCAGTCAGATCACCTTTTCACACACGAACCACCAGCCACAGGCGTCATGTTGTTGACTAATATTACCAACTCGCCCACCTGTTTCTGTCTTTCCCACTGGACTTGAATGCAGCACAGAGTGAGAACAGGTGACGGCTGATATTTTAAACATTGTTAATCACAGCTTATATTTATCTTGAGGTGACAAATCTCACGGAAAGTCCTAAATTACTACAACTGTCTCTCCAAAGCCTGATATATGCCAGTTTTGTCTGATCAACAAACCAAGCTGCAAATCTTTACAATTTATAATAATAAAACAGCCGATGTTTAGTATTTTTGCTTGAAAACTCACTTGAACAAATCACTGAAAGTTAAAATACTTCTGTCGATCCATTAGAAACAGTTTCAGCTCCAAAAAACAAAATGGATAAAATATCACTATCATGCTTCACTTATTGACGTGCAAAACCCGCCAGTTTGATCCCTCAAGGGTAGAGTGCGACATTCAGAGAAAGACACTGCTCACTGTTTACCGTCAACACGTGAAATGTTCCACTTTACCTGACAGCTCCTGCCTCCGCGTTACCTGATCCCGTCCAGCTACTCTGACCGGTTTTCTGTTCACGCCCGTCAAGACCTTTCCACTGACGCTTTCACCATCATCGCCAGGAGCTACGCTTTTCATGACAGCCTCAAATATTTGCTCTTCCCTTCACCTCACGCTCCACATCCAGCGCTGAAACGAACGTATGGAGGACACATTAGTGCATACCACGGATGGGAGGGATGGACTCTACATAGTACAGAGAAACTGAGGCTTGGGTAATGCAACAGGTGTGGCAACTGCGTGTTTACTTGGTTTAAAATGTGGCACAGGACAGTTAAAGTGATATTCCACCCAAAATTGTTTTCAGTATCAAACACTCTGTAGGCTTAAAAGGTTTGTGGTTTTGTTCTTCATGGACAATAACAGCTGTGGCTGCTATTTCCCTTTTCCAGATTCCGGAAACTTCTCTACGGACTGTATTTTAAATATTTGGGGCTACATTATTAATTAGCTTTATTATAAAATAATCTGTCAATTTTTTGTTATTTTATTAACCACTTAGTCTAAAAAATATGTCAGAAAAGAGGGTAAAATAACATCGTCTTGTTTTTTTGTTCCAACAAACTGTCTGAAACTCAAAAGATATTTAGTTTAAAATACTATAAAAATAGAAAAGCAGCAAATCCTCAAACTGGAGAAGCTAGAAACAGCAAGTCTTCAGCATTTCGCTTTGAAATAATGACTTAAACGATTAGAAAAACTATTACTTTTCTTTGAACTGACCGATTAGTCCAGTTCAGTATGTTCAAAACACTCTTTCAGCAAAAACACTCCTACTACGGAGTTATTATTTATACATATTTCGGTGAATCAGGGATTATTCGGATCAGTAGTAGAAACTTAAAACAGAATTTGAGTGGAGTATCACTGTGCGGGAGCAGACAGAGTTGAGTGAACTGTGTGTGTTGTATTAAAGTAGCCAGGACTGGCGGTGGCGTGTGCGTGTTCCTGCTGCATGTAGCAGGTGTGACATGACACGTGAGGCGTGAAATCTGAGAACGTGAAGAGAAGAGTCCCTAAACAGGAGGGTGTGACGAAAACCTGCGTGACGCAAAGGTGAAGCTTTCCTTCTCATCTCCAGACTCCCAGAAGCTCTTAAAGCTGATGATACACGTGGCAACTTTTTGAGCAATGTTGCTGGGCAATCTTGCTGGTGGCAAGTCCGATTATGTTTTGAACGGATAGCTGCGGTGCGGGGAGGGTTGCGGAGTGGCGGGAGAAGGGGATTACGGTAGTAATCTTTACTCATTACCATTGACAGCAACATTGCTCTAAAAGTTGCTCCGTGTATCTTCAGCTTTATAGGTAAAAAAAACCAAAACATCAATATGAAAACTACAGAATATCTCCAGCCTTATCCACTGCTCACTCTGTTTTATGTCTTCTGTTCGTTTCGCCTTGTTGAAAAATGTCTGGACTTTGCATCAAGTTAAAAGCTTCTTATAGAGCGTCCCTCGTCATTGAGGAGGCAGCGTAAACCACAGAATTATAATATCTAAATTTTTCGTGCTTTTAGCCAGTTTGTTGCAGGTGAACATTAAAAATGCAGCATGTGTATTTTTGTTGCTTACGCTTCGTTTATACTAAACCAAGAAACGGAAAACTTAGAACGGACTTGGACTCAAGGCACACTAGCAAGTCTAGACCTGAGATCTGGTTCAGGTCGCGTCTTTCTGGATTTTAGGGCGCGGTCAGACCTCCACTGCAACACCAGATGGGAACCTTCATTCATCAAGTGTTGCCTGTGGATGAACTAAAACATCTGAACTTCCAATGAGTGTTGAAACACATCCAGCTGAGGATAAACAACGATCAATAAAAGGACTGACTGGTTACTAGTGTCTTGATCATTAGCTTATTGGTCATTTCAAATATCAAATAAGCCGAGATGTGGACAGAAAAAGGTGTCAGACAGAAGAAAGACATACAAGCGAAGAATTGATCGTGAGGTGATTTTTGTGATGCACATTGAGTGGCGTGCGTTTTGTAGAGTAACTAAATATGGTTGTTTGAGTTGGTGAGGGACTTCTGTACATGTAGTTACACTCCAGCAGAGTGAATCTGGAGTCTCGTTCTCTCTTTCTAGCAGTTGGGAGTAGTGAGAATCAGGTCTGTGGAGACCAAAATGTCTGTCGCCGTTCTCCGACGACTTGTCGAGGCACCATTCGAGCTCATATTCTCTAACATGACCTCATGTAGAAGCACTCGCTCATCCCTTTATCCGTCATTCCTGCTCTTCGGCTCTTCAGGTTCAGGGATGTGCAATTTTCCTCCAACTAACAACATCCTGTACATGCGTCTCCTGATCCCATGCTGTCGATCATTCGTCGTCTCCTACGGACCCCTCGGGGACGCCGTTTATTAGGAGATTTTACAGTTGTTGCGGGTGCAGTTCTGCGGCGGGCTCTGCGGCGGACGGATGGACTTTGAGCGCTTCAAGCTGTTGCCTTTGGAGCCGCCGCCCGGGTTGGCCAGCGAGTAAGAGCGTCCGTGCATCATGACGGCGTTCATGCCATTGGCCATGGAGAAGGACTTGAGGTGGGACTTGATGGCGACGGGCAGCGGGAGCTTGTCGATGAGGTGGACCGGCGTGCACGACACGATGGCTCTGCAGCAGAGGTCCTGGAGAGTGAACACTGCAGAGAGAGAGGGAGGAGGTGAAAAGGCTGAACTCCACAGCGCAGCGTCTGTGAACTGTGATGAAACTTTAAAACAAAAGTCTGATAATTATTGAGGATTTAAAACATTTGTGAGGTGTTTTTTTTATTTTTTGAAGGAACCAATGGGCTTAGAGAGCCACAGACAGGGTAAGGAGGTAACTGACTTCAGTCTCAACAGGTGAAGCACTTCAGACACAAATAAAGTCCAGGCTGAGTTTCAATACAACAAGCCTGAGGCTACATCCACACTAACACGACCACACCAGCGTTTTAGCTGCGTGTCAGAATTGATCTCCGTCCATATAACGACTGAAAACGCAAGAAGTGGCTGTTCGTACGTACACTCGGCATTAGGGGTGGGAGAAATAATCGATTCTTAGATGCATCGCAGTGCAGATGTGAAAGATTATGAATCGATTAACAAATGTCTAAAAATCAATTATTTAAATGTTAATCGATAACGTAATGTTGACAAAAGGCGGAACTTGGGGAAGTGCAGCGCCCGGACCGTCTGTGGTGCGCAAACTAGTCCTTTAAAGCTAATTAGGAGATGTTTCTTTTGGATTTTAATGCTCAAATTAAATGCTTAGTAATTATCCAGGGATCCTGTATAGAAAAAATGATGCATCAATAATCGTTTTATAATCGAATTGCAGCCCTCTGAATCGTAATCGAATCGTGACTTGCCCAGAGATTCCCACTCCTACTGGGCACTGGTGTTTTTGCTTTGCTTTGATTGAAGAGACAGACACAATTGTGAGCGTCTGTGTCATCGTTTTTCATCCGCCCTATAACGCTACCCCGGAGTTTTAAAATGAAAACAGGGTCAGCAGCGTTTTCAAACTTCTCTGTTAGGTGTTGGAACAAAATTTTGTAGTAGTGTGGATGTAGATGTCAGTTCATAATTAATTCTCTTGAGGGTTAGCAGGACATCACTTCCACCTGCTTCCTTGTTCAATTACAAATGAGGCAGACGAAATAAAGACGGGAATGAGGGAGACCTCATTAGCATAACGAGGGAGTGTGTCCTCCATCTGGCGACTATCTTGGTACAGAGTGTCTTGAATTCTGTCTAAAAGCCACTCAGCACGCCTCTGTAATCACAGCAGATGCTTGAGAAGTTGCGGTGTTGTGCTCATTCCACTGTTTTGGTTAATTTCTTTGGTGTACCCGCTTGTTCCCCCACCCGTCCACTCACCTCTGTTGGGCTTCCAGAACTTCTCCATGCCGTGCCTCATCAGGACGATGCGCGACAGCTCGGTGAAGGACTCGATGACGTTGAAGTTGCACAGAGGGCTCACCTCGAAGAAGGTCATGCCGTTCTTCTCTGCGTACGCCCTCGCCTGTTCAGTGGGAACTTGCCGTTTGAAGGCCAGATGCAGGCGGTTACCGACGAGTATTCGAGGTACGCCTGGAGCATGCTGGGAAGGAAAAAAATCAAACGGATGACAGAATAAATGCCTGTTGATAGCTGCATTTCTATTATCTAATATTTGTGACATTCAAACCTGTTTTATATCAACAAACCTTTTTCCTCTGTGTAATAATATAATTTAGGAACATTCTCAATAACCGCTCTGCCTGTCTGTGCTTGCTTTCACCTTAGTATTTGCTTGCTTTCTGATTATTAATTTCACTCTGTCTTTCTCTTCTGTTCTACTGAGCTGTAGAAGAGTTGTAGAGCTGTAGAGCATATATGCTCAGCCAACCTACCGTCCATAAATAAAAGGTTAAATATAAATAAATAAAATATTTACTTTGGTCGCATGCTCGAGTTAGGGCTAAGGGACGGTCAACATTTTGATCCAGAGCGAGACATCTTAACAGTTACTGAAATTGTGCACAAGTGTGGAACCTGATTAAAATTTCATTAAGCTGGATTTGTAGTCGAAGTGTATTTATTTTTTTACAGTAGAGTGATTGCCTTGCAGTCAGCATGTTCATGTTGTTTCATTCATAGAGCACAGCGATTGTGGTGAGCAGCGTGCAGGGCCGAGACGTCTTTGCTAGATGTGTGTTAATGTGAGAATCTTTCACCCCATGAAACTTGTAGGAGAAAACAAAACCACTGCAAGCGGACCAATCACTGCTCTTGTGAAATAAATATGGTGGACATACAGATACTTGGTTGTTTTTACATTAGAAAAATCTCAGCTATAAAGTATCTGCAGTTGATTCATTCAACATGACCAGCGCAGGCTTGTTATTAATTCAACAAGCTCTCAAAAGGAGGCAGCGTGCATCTTGTCCTGCCACTTGGGTTCAGGGCTCTCCAATTTATCTCCATCTGTTCTGACAAACTGAATGAAACATGATGGCAGCGAGAGGCCGGCGCCTTTCCTCCTGACTGTCACCGCTCATCAGCCTCTCTTCAGAGCTTCCTCCCTGTTGGATTTTCGTTCTCAGAGTCTGTCCACTGAGGTCAGTCTTGTTCCAGCAGCAGTCACAGACGAAACAGTAACAGCTGTAGCGGCAGCAGTGACAGTGGTGGAAAAAGCAGGAGAAGCAAATACTGAGGGTTTCTACAGACGGTTTGTATTTTGCCATTGGCAAGTAAGACCAGTGGCGTCGAACTGCCCGATCTGTCTCACATTTTCCACAAGAGCGCAAATTCAAAGGCCTCTCATGTCAACTGTAAGGAGAGTTTGAGCTCCTACCCTCGGGATGAATGTTGGGTTAGGTCCAGACATTTCTCTAAGTATTTTATTTAAAATAAGTGGGTGATTATGTTGTTTTAACTATTAATTATTAGACTGATAATGATGGTCAAATGTACTGCAAGTTTCATGTTATGCTGCTATACGGATGTGTTGTTACACGTGTGGAAGTTTTAAGTATTTGTGGTCATGTTTGACATAGTTTAATGATGATGTTTTATGTATTTTATTGTTTATTTTATTCTGTGTTTCTGGCTGCTAGATAAATTTCCCAGTGGGGACGATAAAAGCTTTTTGCTGATGTGGGTGGGTATGTTTTTTTGTCACTGTGAGAAATATCAATGAATCACAGTCAACTCTGTTTTCTCTTCAGGGCCAACACAAATCAGCTGTACACTTCTCTAAGGCTACGTTCAGACTGCAGGCCTTAATGCCATTTTTTCCCCCAGATCAGTTTTTTTTGTTTGACAGTTCACACTGGGTTTTTTTAAATGTGGCCCGGATCAGACTTGAGTGTGAACTGTCCGCGGCCTGAAAGTGACCCGCATGCGCAGAAGAACAACACGACGTCACACGCAGCCCGCTGTTGCAGGCTAAAGAAGTAAACAGAGGTCATCTCCTGTTAGCTGACGGGAGACTGATGTTTTTTTATTGTCCTCTCACGGATCACATTTCCCCCAAATTATGACAAGTGTTCACAACTTTCTGTTCTCTTCTTTACGGTTTCTGGCGCTGTACAACGCAACTGCCCCACAACACACTCCCTCCGTCTCTCTCTCCCTCTCCCCACTGTGTCCGCTCGGACAGGTAGCATCAAAGTCGCATTTAAAAAGATCTGTATCGGATTTGGACCGAACTGGAAAAGATAATTTTCCACGTGGCTTGGCCTGTTCACACTGTCATAAAAAAATCAGATTTGTGTCACTTTGGCCTGCAGTCTGAACGTGGCATAAGAGTTCTTCATGTGTACATGCAAGGGGATTTTCCCTAGTGTTGTGAAATAAAATGAACCAAGACTCTGTGTGAAAGTAAGAACTATGTACAGTACAAATATATGCGTTGAAAAATATTCAACAGTAATATAATCTGTAATGTTTAGCACACATTAAAAGACCAATTTTATAAAACAATAATCCCAAATATTTTCAGTTCAATTTTCAGATGTGAAGATTTGTCCCTTTCCACATATAAGACATAACCAGTGATTAAACCTAAAGAAACTACATCTGTTTTCGTTCTTCTCTACACGCCGTTTAACTTTCATCATCCACAGATTATTTTTTTTTTAAATCCCTCCATCTCTACTTTAGTTCTGTCCTTAAAAGTGTCCGACCACACCGCATCTGTGGGGGTGGAGCAGGAAAGGCCAAACTGAAACACACATTCCACAGGCCAAAAATATCTCACACACACACAGAGACGGACATCCTCTTTGTTCCTAAATCAGCAGGAAGGACATGATGAGAGTAGCCCAAACACCCAGGTTGTCTTAAGTGATTCACTTAACTCGTTGCACTGACCCTTTGTCCTATCAAACGGGAACACTGTTCTAATCGCTGGAGTCTAAAAGAAAAAAACATCACACTTCCACCATCGCAGCAGAATCATAAGAAGATCCAGCTGGACTATTACAGCAATAAAATACGAGCACAAGAAGTCCTGAACATGGTTCATTCTTGAGGAGCACGCTGATTTCTGGATAAGATATTGTTTTACTGCCAACAGTCCTGCCCTCTCGTGAACCTTTCCCAGAGAAAAACAAAGAGTTACTTGAATGAAAAGTTAACTGGCTCAGTTAACTTTAGGGTTGGGTATGGTTTTAATTTCTCCAAATCTGGTTCTTATCAAATCTCGGCAATGATTCCAAACCCTTCACTACAGATCTTGTCAACGCTCGGTCACCTTCATCTTCCCCTTCATGGCTAAAGTGAAATGAGTCTCTGCACAAGAGTGGCGTCTCTAAGAAAAATATGTGTTGAGTCATTTGTAGACATCATTCGTTTCCCTTCAGTATAAAAGGTGATCGTCAGCTCACCTGTGTTTTGTTCCTGAGATGTTGCTACTGTTATATCTGGGGCGTCATTGTAGCTGGGGGAGCGCGACACCTTGAACACGGTGCGTTCCTTCAGATTCACGCTGTGTTGAAAGGAAACGCTTCGTCATGTCGGAGCTGCTTCCTCCCTCGCACCAAACCTCCTTACTGCAGCTGTTGCGTTTTGCTGTATAGTTCTCTTTTTTAGTGATGCTAAGCCAAACTTTGGAGAGTTCGCTGCGGTCCGCCACGGTCCAGGAATTGAAACGACAATCTCTCTTCTCACGTGGCAGATAAGTGACTCTTTTATGGAATGTAAAATGCTCACTGCAGTTCAATCGCTAGGCAATGAAATATGAAAAAAGTTAAAGTAAACCGACAAGTAGATCTGAAGATGCACGTCTCTTTTCGAATCCACGTTTTTAAAAAAAATTGATAATAGTTCTTGATACCCAACCCAAGTTAACTATGGGTAAAAGCTATCTATACACTGCCAGGAAACCTGTCAGGAATGAAAGAAAAACAGCTATAGTCACCATTATTATGGCGGTTGGTGCAGGAAATTATCTCTGTCTGTTAGAAGCATCGTTTTAAACCAAGAGTGGACAAAAAAAAAAAAAGTCCTTTCTTCCATCTCTTGACATAATTGACCCTTCACTAAGCCACGCTTCCCTGGACAAACTTTCCAAAGGGGAGCGTCAGACTTTTATCACGGCGCTGCCACTGTCTATTACTGCACTCCCTGGAGAAATATTACATAATTTTTGGAAAAAGTGAAATAAGCAGACAGCTTTGCAGTTGCATTGTGCATTTGAAGGTTGTCAAACTGACAATAAATAAAGACAGAAGCTAAAGCCTACCGATCACAGAGTAAAACTGAAGCACCGTATTATGACTGACTACTGAGAAAGAGGTACAATGATACTAAGGATCAGCATTGTTCCTGTACAGCTGGGTAGGTCCTTATTCGCTTTTGCAATCATTAAAAAGCAGAACAGTAGGGCTACATAACATTACATTCAGCAGTATGTTAGCAAGTGTTTTAAGAATAAATCGCACTTCTCCTTTCAACCTCTCTGGGTAGCAACTGTAACTATTACAAGTGCCTCAGGAACAGCGTTTGACCATATCTTGGATAGCTTGCATTAGAGTCAATAGAGCGCAGCCATGACAGTGTCGGACCTCAGGTAGAGAGAGTCCTATACTACGCTGTGATTGGCCAGCTCCATATTCAGGGCGTGGCTTGGAGAGGGGTTAATTACCATGTCGAAGAAAGTGATCTATAAGAAGGTCTCTTTTGCTCTTAATTACTTTTCCCATCGCAGTGACCTGATTGGTCATTAGGCAAGGCTGTTTTAATCTGATCCTCTAAAGTTATCCTGCTTTGGAGCACTACCTAAACCTGAGATTTGTGATCCAGAATCTAAACTTCATCTCTAAATGTTTTCACCTACCTCGCAAGTATGATACCTGTTTGGGCTCTAAGCTGGATATGGCCAAATAACAATCCTGCCAACATCCATCACACCTCATCAAACCAATCATGCATTCATCCATCGATAAAACTCACCTCATCAATCTCTCTGATCCACCTGTCGATTCCATCAAATGACCACCGGTTAGTGATGTCATACACCAGCAGGATCCCCTGAGAACAGACACACACAGAACAGCTGGTGTGTAAACGTGGAATCTGTGCAGCCAGCACAGAGTCATGTTGTCCTTAACCCCTTAGGCCAAAACCTGGACCTTTAGATCAAGTCACGCAGGTTTACTTCATGCAGCAGTTTCCAAATGAGTCTATTTTAGTGATAAATCGATTAATCGGCTGATACCTGCATTCAAAAGGCCTTAAATGACAGCAGATCTAATCTAACACCATTACTGGCTAGGGTTAAATATATAGTTGTACTGTAGAGTATAATGCAGCCGAATGATGTAACCCACTCTCCCTTAAACACCAGTCACGCTCTGAAAATCGGCAGCAGAACCCAATGTATGTTTCTATTTCATTCATTAATAGAGCTTCCATCTACAACAACATGTTACTGGCTGAGATAACATGTATTTTAGATTGTACTCTGCAGGAATAATGGATTAAAACATGACATGTCTTTGCTTTGATATCAGCCACCGTCCGCACGGTTCTCTAAATATCAATTCATCGATTACTAAAATGCATTGACGCAAATTCTTTGCATTGACGCTTCATTTAATTAATATAACTATACATCACACTGTTTCACACAGACATTTATTACTGGCACACATCGCGCTTACGCTGTGAACACGACGTGATTATGATGCCGCTGTGTTTGCAAAGTGGAGGAAGAGAAAGAAAATAGCGAGTGACAAAGAAGAAAGTGTCCAAAGTATGGGATGGGATTATTTCAAGCTAATGAAAACAACAACTCTGTCACAAGCAAAAGTACGACACATTGATGAATCGTTGAAATAATCTATAGAAGCTTTGAATACTAAAATCAGCGTTAGCTGCAGCCCTACATTGGCCATTGAAAAAGCCATATCGGTCGACCGCTTGTCTATTTTGGTTGTTTGTTCCTCACCTGAGCCCCACGGGAATATGAGCGAAAGATGGTGCAGAACCTCCCCTGTCCTGATGTGTCCCTGAAGAAGAAAGAGAAAAGAAAGAAAGAAAGGAAGATTAATAGTCAGCTGCCAGGAAGTAAAACTAGAAACTAACTAGACTAGAAAAGTGGTAGTTATGAGCATCAAGGACGAAACACGGGCCTGACATGAGACACAAAACAAACACAGACGGCGACAGAGATAGAAGTGGGAGGGAAGCAGAGGATGAGGTAAAGAGTTTGATAATAAAAGAAAGCATCGAGACAGTAAAACAACAGTGAGGAGAGTGTGACAGACTGCGGCTGCAGAAATAAAGAAGTGTCTGCATCATACGGCTGCCTTTAAACTTCTCTCTCCGCAGGGAAGACAAGGCGTTGCTTCTCCCCTGTGTTGCTGAATTCCTTGGCCTACTTCCAAACAGGCCTCGCCTTGCACTGCCGTGTGTCTTGACAACTACACTCATCTGCTGCATCTCCACTGATTATTAGTGAGGCATGTATTAGTACGCACAGGGTAAGGACAGGATTCCTTCTAATGTCTTATCCATTATATAACCTTCTTACTTAGTGTTTTGTTTTGCTCTATTGCCTCTTTTAAAATGTAACGTGCATTATGTAAATGAAACCCATTTTCCCTGAAGTAGCTTTCAAGGTCTGACTGTATCAGATACAGATATATTCTGTGTCAAGTTGTTCCAACTCTTCATTGAAGCTCTGTGGTGTTTATACCGAGTGAAATATTCAGACCCATGTTTTTATGGATGCACCATTCCATCAAACAGAAATATTCAAGATGCACTGGGCATCATTTTATACACAGTTCCCCAAATTTCAGCCTGACATATTCTTCTTCTTTGGGAACTTTACCACCTCCACAAGATTTTCTAATAACGTTTTGTGTGTTTGAACAATGTTTGGTGACATAACAGGAGTTTTATAATGGCTGGCCCACCTGCAGGTCAGTGTCAGTTAGGAGGTTAAAGGGTAAGTTCAATTTAGAGAAGGTGTGGTTCAGATGGAAGCGAAATTTTGACGCAGGAAGACTATATAAAGTCAGATGCGCGTGGGCACACTTCACGTAATTTTTGCCCACTGCGGTGTGATGTTAGGTGAAGCCACGGCGGTGTGAGTTTGAGTAAAATATTTGTGCTTATCCTGGAGTTCTCCTGAATCCACTTCATGAACGTACAGAGAGAAAAGACTGGAGGGTTCCAGTCATTGTCTGAGCCGTCACACAAACACAGACGCACAAAGTCAGCTCTAACAGTTAATGTCTGAACAGTCGGTGCACACCAGCTATTTGGGGCGAATTAACACAAGCTGTCAAATAAAACAAACCGAAAATCCGACTTCTTCACGGTTCTTTGTGAAAAGACTTACCTTTAGTGGTAAAAAAAAGTTTTTGATATATGTGCCTCTGTGATTTCTGCCTCCACCCCAATACAAGGCAGGTGAATGTGAATTTGTTTCCAAAATGTTCCAAGTTACTGTTTAAAGACCGTTAAGATAAATGTCAAGAGTTTTAAATTGATTGTTTGTTTTTTTTTAAAACCAGCTACATTATTTCTTTAAATACCAGTAGCGTTATTGATTAAAAAAAAATAAAACAAATCACACAAGAGGGTATTCCTGAGCTGAGAAGTTCACGTGAGGTGAAAATTCATGGAGTTGCTTTCGTTGCATTTCTAGAGTTACATCAACCTATTAAACTCCAACAAAATTAACATTTAAGATTCCCAACTGTTGGATGAGGACACTTACATAAATTCATAGAGAAAAGATTTTAAGGAGTTGAGTTGTCAAGTGTCATCTTGCACCTCCTAAGCCTTGAGTTGAAGGCGGTCACTGAAGCCAAACCCCATATAACTCGACACAGATCATTTTTCATCGGAGCTACGTTCTACAGAAGACATTACTCATGAAAACAGTTGAGGATTATGTCTGTGGGTTATCCAGTAACTGCTGCTGGATAAACATGTTGTTTGTTTTGTTCATGCGTCATTTGTCAATGCAATGAGCACCGCACGAGACAGATACTCAACACCACCAGATATTCAACACCAGGGCAGATAAAAGCAAAAAACACTACATATTTTTTTTCCAATTTGGCTGAACAAACCCGTAAAGGTCTAGAACACCACTATACTGAGGGATTTCAAGCCAGAAAAAGAGCAGCAGTCACTCTCCATTGTACAGACAACAACAGGTTGGTTGTTCAGTAGTGATGCTTACCAAAGCTCCAGCTTTACTCTCCTCCCGTCCAGAAGGATGGTGGTGGTTTTATAGTCGATACCTGGACAGAGAGACAAAGGGCAGACAGAGAGCAGCATTAAGCAAATGGACGCATCAGGAAGGCAGGCATCGATCAAGATTTCAATACCGAGATCATCATCTATTCGAGCCACTGAAATTAAATCAAAGTGTAAACTCTGGTTAGCTTCGGAAAAATATGACAGCTGCGTTTTTACGGGTGACAACACAAAAGACATCGCATTGGAGATGTTTCAGCTCTGACTCGCTGACTTGTTTTCATCAAGGTTAACAATCAGGCACCCGAGTCTGCTCCCGTTCCTGCTTTTCACCGACATCACTGAGCTCCAGTGTAGAATAACTGATTAACGGTTTGAGTTAATCAACCTCACAGTCATGATGACGGCCATCGTTTGAATTTGTTTGTGGAGATCACCCTTTCACATTTTCTTGATTGCTATTAACGGCCATATATGTATGTAGATTTTATATTTAAGTAAAATTTTATAGAAATACAAAATAAGACTGTGGACATGTTTTTTATTTATTTTTATTCTTTTTTTATTTTAAAGCTGAAATATGAGAATCTGGTCATAACTGTGGTGCTTTGAGCGAAATGCAAACCTCATGCGAGTAATTTTATAATGTTTACCATGTTCACCGTCTTAAGGCCAATTTATACTTCTGCCTCGAGTCTAGATGTAGCCACGTCGTTGTGTTTTATACTTGGTGTAAGCATTGCTCTGCAATTACACCGCCAAAAGGCTAGTTGGCTTTGGGGTTTTATGTTCTACTGCGTTGACTTCTGGTTTAGCCCTCTGCTAACTTGAATGAGTGTAAAATGATTTACATGTAGCTCTTCTAGACTTTCCAAATGTTATTGGAGCAAATAAAATCAAGTTCTGATAGTGAAACGATGCTCAAAAAAACGTACCCACCATTTAGCTCATTTTAATAATGCAAGTCTATGGGTATATGTCTGGTTTGGCCTCTAGTAAAATTGGCTTCAAAGCACGGGGCACTTCCTGGGGGCTTGGAGGAAATGCAATGTCATTAGTTCTGCAGGTATTTGGTCATGAAAGTATTGGACAAATAAAAATGTTGCTTGTTGATGCGCTAGATAAAGTCTGAAGATCACTTAAGTTATTACAGTAATTCATCCCGAGGGGGACATGAATGTCTGAGCCAAATGTCACATCAATCCATCCAACAGCTGTTGAGATATTTCAGTCTGGACCAAAGTGGTGGACCGACAAACCAACACTGCCATCCGTAGAGTAACGCCGCTACCATGCTGAAATTAAAAACTAAACTAATTCTAATGTGTGTTACAAAAAACATGTTTGCAGTTTAACGGTCAGGACGGAGGCAGCTGTGTACAGCCTGCTAACAAATCTCTCTGGCTCATTACTTCGCTCATTTCTGACAAACCTGTCCGACTGCTACACCTGTCACCCTGCCGGCCCATGTCTCCACATGTTCACCTGAGTGTGCTCGCCAGGTTAGTTTTCACTAAGCCTTATACCACCTGCGGGCAAGCAGGTGAACCACTGGATAATCGGTGTTTTCCACACTTCACCATGAGATGCGATTGTGAAAAAAAGAAAACTTGTTACAAAATGCGTCTCCACCCTGCCCCGACACGCTCACCAGCTAAATGCTATTTCAGTTAACTTTCCACCAAGACAAGAGACAAACTGACCAACGTTTTGTGTTTACTGGCTGCTTTAAGAATAAGTCCAATCATTTTCTGTAGTTCTCTAATTGTCAGTCAAACAAACAATTGATGGAACATTTTTATTGACTGTAAATATAAATTGGCGCCTCTAGCAAAAGATGCCCCAACTATAAAAAAATCAAAAGGATAAAAACACAATAAAGCCAAACAGCTTATTTCCATTGTTGTCCTTTTTGGGAAGGCAAAGGGTAGGAGTATCATGAAAAGGCAACTATGTTACTAGCAGTTTCTAAGTATACATGGTTTCTCTTTAGAAATAAAATTCAGTGACAATACTATATACAATATTAATCCATAAAAGTTCACCTATTTTAATCACAAGAATTACTGTCTCTACTATTACTGTGTGTGTTGTTCTAAAAACCAGTGACCAGTTTAAGAAACATTAAACTCTATTTGTGAGACATTTTTAAAGATTTAGGAATCACTGTGCTTGTAACTGACAGCCACAGACAGGGTAAATAAGTGACTATAACACTGTTTTTTTGGGGGCTTTTCAAAATGTTTAACCTTTCAAAATATTAAAGGTTTAATGATCAATTATTTTGCAATAAAGACAAAAGCCGAGTGCCCTTACCCAAAGGCTATTCTAATAATGCTGAGCTGTGAAATAGAGAACAGTACATTGCATTTGCAGCAGATCTGAGAAAAAAAAAATATGATTGTACATTTTCTAGATAATTCCCTAATATGATTTTAAGAAGTGACATTGATTAATTTTCTGCAAACAAACCCATCATTCAGCAGCATATTAATTCTACCTCATAACTTTCCTCGCACATTCACAAAATGGATGTATGTTTCAATGCATGGCTCTTTTAGCTGTAAACTGTCAGCTTTAACATTAAACAGTAAGAATAAAAAACACATTAACACAACATTAATGTCTGAGGGAGCGAGCCTTCCCAGTTCCCAGAGTCTCACACATGACTGAATCCGCCTCTGGCAGGTAGCAGCTGCCGGCTAACGACATTAGCAATATCTTCCAATTTTCCAGGCAACATAAAGCTGCTGCTGAGCTAAAGTGCTGAGCTCAGACTAGCCTAATTGAATTGCAGTGAGTGCAGGGCTTTGTACCAAGTGCTTCCTCTCCTCCCATTTCTCAGATATCCCAGATGATCAATAGCTTCTCTGATGTCTTAGCTGGATACTGCTGCTTCTATTCTGGGAGTCGGCAGAATTTATTTTCTTCTTTGAACGTGCTCAAATCTGTGAAGCTTATAATGTTCATCTTTTGTTGACACTGTACAAAACACTGCAGTAATAAGCCTAAGAGTGGGCCCCTCTCGCAGTATATGTACTCAAATTACCTAATTATTTGTACATTTTCCAGAAAATCAATTGAGAAACTGTTCACGGAAGCACTGACCAGACGAGTATGGCTGCTAACAGCCACATCAATATGAATGATCTTTGTATATTGCCTCCTAGTATATATCGTATATTGTTAAACACTAAGTAAGTCATAAGAGAAAGCAATCCGCTCTTCCATTAACATTTATTAATTTAGCAGAAGCTTTTATCCAAAGCTACTTACAATTGCTATACATATCAGAGGTTGCTCGCCTCTGGAGCAACTAGGGGTTTAAGTGTCTTACTCAGGGACACATTGGTGGATGGGTTACAGAGGGAATTGAACCTGGGTCTCTCACACCACAGGCATGGATCTTATCCACTGCCCCATCTTCCAAAGTACAGCCTTACTATAAACTGTGTAGCTGTATCATATAGCAACATGCCTAAATCCCAGAACAGTAAAGACTAATGTAAACGTATGTTGTAACCATGAAGTTCAGTGTTTCACATTAATTGGCGAGACTTTGGCAGCCCGACAGTCTAATTTGTCCCACCATAGTTTCAGAATGAACCGGAAATATTTTGAAACCTCTCACAAGACCTCTAACGTTGTGTTTTGCGTCGTCGCTGTAAGCTCGCGCGCTCAAACGCTTTTTGCACACACGAACATTTAACTCGAGACGACCATTTTTCCTTTGCGGTCAGTACGGTAACATTAAAGGCTTGAACAGCTCTGAGAGTTTTCTGTGTCACTCGTTTGTGAGAATACCTAAATTTTGAGTGCACACTTTATGGGAAATGAGCAAGCTGGCAGGCAGGTTAGAGACTTTATTCTGTCATTTTTCTTATTTTACAAAGACAAGTTTTGCAATCTGACAGTCTGAAGAGAGGCTGTTAAGTCTGAACTGTACGCAATACGAACACCAGATAATACAAGATAATCTATCAAACTGCGTCAGACTTGGTGAATTTAGCGCGAGGATACGCATGTTACAACATCCGTATATCTCGTCTGCAAAGTTCTTAGCCTATTAATTTTGCTGTCAAAGTGCACCAAATTATTGCATTTTCAATTCAAGTTTAAAGGCTGATTTCTGCTCCTGAGTGAAAGTTGAAGAAACCAGACGGTTAATTGTGGTTTTAAACTTCTTCTTCTTTATGGTCAGAATAAACAGAAGAGGCAGAACATGCAAAACTATTTTGATAATAATATTTTTTTCAACAAATATGCACAAGTCAAATTAATCTTTTTTTCAGTCCCTTTTCCTCAACAAAATAATCTTGATAGAAAAATGAAGTGCTATTTCATTCGCAAGGACAGGGGAAGCGTAGCTGCAGACACTGATGTGATGTGACACTGTGATTAAATTAAGTATATTAAATAAATTGTGTAACAAATCATGATTTACATGAGTTACATCCTCACAGTCATTGTGTTTTTTGCTAATGACAGACAGGTGACTTCATGAACTAAAATAATTAATATTAATGTTGGGTTTTGATTTTTACATGTTATGGTGTTGAAGCTGAAAGTCGTGTATTATTTGTATTCTTATCGGTCACACTACACACACACCGTAGTCTCAAAAAATCCTGTGGGAAGCACAGGCGTCCTGTGTGAAATACATTACGTCCGCAGGTGTAAACAACATGTAGAGGCTGTGAAGGAAGAAATGAAATAGGGAAATCAGAAAGCAAAGTGCAGAAAATCTGATTTAACAGCAGCGAGACTGCGTTTACAGCTAAGCTCTGTTGAAATACTGAACAGTCGGTGTGGATCTTTCAAGAGGATTAGACTGGGTTCAGCTTTTTTTGTTACCTACCAACACTGTAAACCCCTCTCTCTCCTTCAGGCGGGCAGTAGGGGGGGGGTTTATCTATCTCTGAACTGGCCTGCATCCAGCGATAACGGTCTATGGTTATGCCACTCGTTAAACAAACAATGGGCCGCCGTGCCTGCATGACCCTCTGGGGAATATTCCATTGTTAATGTGCTGAATGAAAAAAAGATTCTCGCAGCTCCCTTCAAGCTGCTTTTGCATTTTAATTGGCTGCACCCCTCCACGGCTGGTGTTATCTGATGGCTAGCATCAACTGACTATGAAATTCAAAACAACAACGACAAAAGGAGGACAAAGGTGTGATAAAACAAAGGAATTTAGTCGGAATGAATTAATTATTTTAAACATCAGTGAAAATGAAGACGGGCTGGTTCTTCTTATAATGATACGTAGTGCGAGACAATAGAGATTTGTCAGCCAGCCGTCATTACTGAGACAGCTATCCCTTTAATATCTCTAAACTTATTGTGTGAGAAGAAGTACCTTGATATTTAATTCCTTGGATCTAACAAAAGACTTTTTCTTGTGCTAATTTCATCAACAGTTTTGTAATGTTAAGTCTAGAAAATATGCTATATTATGCGAGCTACAACCATAGCTGGAATGATTAGTCGATTAATCGATCAGAATTAACTTCTTCCAGCCTCCTTTGATTGTAAAATGAATCATTTGGTTTTTGGACTGTTAGTCGGAGAAAACATTTGTGCTCTTTGTAATTAAATGATTAATTATTTTGTCCATTTAAGTTGTGAAAAATGCTCTTTACAATTTTACCAGGACCCAAGGTGACATTTTGTTAAGTCCAAAACTCAAAGATATTCCGATTACTATCCTAAACAATGACGAAAAGCAGCAAATTTTAACATTTGAGAACGTGGAACCTGGTGTTTACAGATTACTACTGTTATATACGATTGTCCATACAGTTGCAAATTCATTTTCTATTAAACAAGGAAAAATTAAGGCGACATCTTCAAATTTATTATTTTTTCTAAAGCTAAGTTGAAAATCCAAAAATGTTCAATTTACAATCTTACATGACAAAGAAACGCAGCAAATCTTCATTTTTCAGAAGCTGGAACCAGCTAATGTTTGACATATTTGCTTTAACAAATTACTAAAGTGATTAACTGACTACTAAACTAGTTGTTTTCTCAGCCGTCAACGCCCCAAAACTACATGCTACACTGAAAAATCTTTCCAAGATTTTTGAGTCGAATACAAGGGACAATGTATGACATGTTTGTCACTATGCCTAGTCACTATTCTGATTACTAGTCTGTTCAATAAAGCACCCAATCACTGATCACCAAGGAGGAAATGCGACAGACGGGTCTACCCAGCTGGCTGCCCCAAATCAGAAAGGGAACCAATCACAGCCTGAGGACAACGTCATCCAATTAAAATCTGCTCTTTTGTCCTGATTTTTCTCCTCCTAAAATATTTAGGTTCCTCTCGAGCATCCCCCTTCCCTCCACGCTAACCTCTCACCGCCACAGGGATGAAAATCAATAGCAAAACATCCCATCTGTAGTGTGTTCAGCTGATATCCACTCTGCCCTCCATATTTAATGAAGCCGTTTGAAGGCTTTTTGATCTTCCTCACATCAATTAGGACATCTTCCATCTTACGTTTTGGGCTTTAGAAGAACGACAGGTTCTCCGTGGGCTCGGTGTACAGAAACCTCAAGGTCACAACCACTCTAATGCAGATGCATTTTAAAATGCTGTTTACTTGTCAAGTTTCATCTAGGACTGGGCAATAAAGTGGCGCTATAATCTGTAGATTCATTCATCATTATTATTTGGTTTATAAAAATATCAGAATATTTTGAAAAATCCCTTGTTTTGTATAACCAACAACGATTTTTACTTAACAATGTTTTAAAAGCAGCAAATCCTCCCATTCTTGAGTTGCAAGCAGTGAATAGTTGGTCTTTTTTCTTGAGAAATGATTTAAACCATTAATCTTGACTGATTGAATGATCTTTTTGCCTCCAAAATGGATATCTGAAAACATTTAACTGTCTAAAACCTACTGTGCATACAGTAAGTGCAATTAGAGCCACAAACAATCAGAATAGGGTAATACTTTAACCACAATGTGGACATATTGCTTATTTGTAATAATAAGCTCCTTCTCTAAATCACCATCACCCGCTGAAATGAAACACTTTGGGTGTCTGAAAACACATGACCTGGGAAGGTCTTCACACTGCTGCCAAATGCCAACAAGCAGCATCACCCTTTGGCAGAATTAGAAAAGCTGACTCATGTATTTTTCATGAACAGCTGCTTTCAACCTAAGGGGAGGAAAAGGAAGTCTTCATCTGATATTTAGGGATTCATCTATGGGGCTAAACTGTTAATCAAAATATTCTTGAAATTGAATTATGGCCAAGTGCAACATCCAAATCTGAGGAGCTGCAACTTTTTGATAACGGGAAAATGTGTCATAACATACAATAAACGAAGCATATCGGTCAGCCCTAACCTACAACAGCATCTCGAGTGAGGACTGTTATTATCTTTGACAAAAAACGCAGTGCACATGCAGGATTTGTCTTTTAAGAAATAAATAACTGAGCACCGTATATTCTTAGATCAGTGGTTTAAAGTGGAGGAGAGAGTCTAATTAGGCTGCACGCATATGATGGACGTGTTCACGTTTCCTTTCTGCCCTGATGTGCACCTCATTACTATTCCTTAAAAAAACTCAAAGAAGCTATTTTAGCATAATCTGAGTGACTCCATCACAGGATTTATTCACTACATATCAGAGTAAGGAGTAACCACTGTGCTCTTTAATGAACATGCCTGAGTTTTTGCAATTTAAGCCAATTTACAAAAGTATTTAAATGACTGCTGAATATTTTCCAAAGCATTCTGCAGCATTTTAGTGCTTTAAATGTGACTTTGTTCCTGCTTTCCATGCAAAATGAATAAGCAGACATTTAAAAAGCTGCCTGTGTGGAGGTAACCCATCACAGTGAAAAACAGTGTCTGTTTTTATTATGCGTGCTCTAATGCAGCTTTCAGTGCTTTCCACTACAAAAAAAACAACAATAACAGGATGTGTGTTAAGTAAGTATTTTCCATATGTAGAATTAATTAGAGCAACCTGCCCAAATGGATTACTCCCACGCCCAAGGTTTTTTTATTTTTACATTTATTATTTGTTCCTTTACTTTGGGGAAATGCATTATTTGAGAAAACACGGGAAAAGAGTATAGTATAGATTAGCACTCCTAATTTCGCTGTATATATGTAAAATGACAATAAAAGGTACTATTTTTTTCTAAAAATCTATAACACCATGGTAATTCCTACTTAGCACTTAGGAAATGGTTAACGGTAATGTGTTTGATTTGTATTAAATGGGCTAAAAAACACGGGTATGGTCCTTTATTCTTTCATTTTTACTCAGCTGTGTTTTACCCGCTCTTCTTCTAGGGCTTCACTTTGATGGGTGTGTGAGTATGCATGTACAGCAGCTACAGACCACCAGCTACAGACCACCAGCTGACTACACAGCAGCAGCAGGCAGTGATCAGATAGTGGCTGTCAGCCCCGGAGCACAAGCACTGAGAGAGCCAGGTGATCTGAGCTCCTACACCCAGGGAGAGATCATCTGATAGGGCACAGCTCCATCAGCCTATCCCTCCACAGCATGGCGGATGGAGCTAAATGTAGATTAGCTACACAAACCAATACAATGGCATAATACAAATGATAACCTAATTCAATCAGCTCCAATAATGTTTAAATCAGACCTAGAGAGGATTTATTTTTGCTTAAATACATGTATATACAAATACCAAAGCATTTTGCTGTAGTTGGTTTAGCAGCTTCCTTTATTTTTTTTGGACACCACTGAAGCTGTTAAGAGAGAAACAAGGAACCATCATTCTGGGGAGGACGTTGACTGGAAAATATTCAGTGTTTAATGTTTAGGTCTAAAACCTATTGTTTTGTTATTAGACTACGAGGAAATTATCCACTAACTGAACAACAATGCACGTACAGTCATGACTGTCAGACTTACTTCCATGCGAATCCTCTGTGTTATAAGCGTCAGAGAGCTCATTGTGTGTTCTCCACAGTCCACACAGCAAAATGCGCAGCTAGTATGTTCAGGGCTTTTGTGATAAACAAGTATGACACAACACAAGGAGCTCATCATCTAAGAGGGCAAAACTGAGCCAACAGGTCCCAGTCAGCTGAGATTAGAGTGACTCACCACTACTGTAAGCGTATGGGGACTCGGCTGATCCATCCTGCAGGCTGTCCAGGATCTCTCCTTTGCCCACATCGCTGTCTCCGACCAGGAGGAACTTGAGCAAGTAGTCGTAGCTTTTCACTGGGCTGCCCTGGCTGCCCATCGTCTCTCCCATCTGAGTCCAGGGGCAGCAAATGGTAAAGATGAGTGACTGTAAGCTTCCCCAGTCAACACAAGGATGGGTAAACCAACCAACCAACCCCCCCCCCCTCTGTGTGTTATTCTACTCACTTGACCAAAACAAAGGCAATGTTTGTTATCCCATCAACTTGCTGAATGGCGGTGCACCAGCACAAAGTCCTTGTTTTGCAGGGTAACTTTAATGGTCTTCCAAAAGTGTGTGCAAACAGGTAATTTTCAGACTAAAATAGGCCCAACAAAACACAGTCTCACATGAATGTCCTACAAAGTGGATGCCAAAAATTTTGAAAGAGATTTTGAAAAGCAAAACACCCTTGTTGCCAAAGTGAAAAGATAATAATAATAGTTGGTCAGAGTTCCTTTCCTCCGTGGGGGGAAAACAAATCTTCACCCAATGTAAACAACTGGCACTGTTCTTCAAACTGATGACTGCCAAGTTATAAATAAGTGTAACCCAAAAAAACTGAGACTAGAGTTCCTTTTTGACCCTAAAAACCTGTTATGGTAGTGACAGATTAACATCTATTAAAGAGTAAGAGCACAGAGATCCAAAGGGTAACTAAAGCTTGATCTGGACGGGATGACTCTTAAAGGATTGCAAAAATCTATTTAACAGTTAGGGAAGAAAAACATGTTTATTGTCTGGAATGGCGATTATAATAAGCTTTATCAGCGAATTTATGTGCTGGGATATATTTTCTAGAGGCACTGCAAAGTTGGAGGGTGTAACTCTAGTCTTTTGTTCACAATTAAGAGAAGCTTGCTGGGGGAACAACAAGCTAGCCCTAACAGAGAGCTAGCCAGCTAGCTTAGCTGTTAACACTGGTGCGAACGTTAACGTGCAAAAGCACTCAGACGAGATAGTTGTTTAAAGACACTGTCAACAGTTTTACGTTATGCCACGCTACACATATCCACAAATAACCCTGTTTTACCCTTTAAAAGTCGATTCCCACTGGAGAAAAAAAAAGGCTTTTCGTATTTACAGCTAGCGCAACTTCAACGTCCGTGTGATTTCGGGCCCCCTTGTCTTTCTTCAGTCCGGGATGACAAAGATTCCGGTAACTCTCTAGAAAACACTGTGATTAAAAGGCTGCGGCGTCTTTACGTCCAGTCCAAATCTCCGTACGTGTACTCAGTGATCTCAGTCCGTGTTCTTCCCATGTTTCTCCATTATAGTCAATCATAATCCCGTCTGTGGTTTCTCTCAGCGCCGCACAACAACACTGAATACGCCGCTGCCAGAGCGGCTGCAATCCCCCCCTCTGTTCCCGCCCTCTCGCTTCAAGCCCCGCCCACCTCGCCTCATGATTGGACGCTGCCTTTAACGGTGACATACGCAGCGGCATGTACGTTGGCTAAAGACAAACGTCCATCAAAGTTTGCAGTCAACAACACGCAGATGGTGAAGCGAATGTGGACAACAAAGATGATTCAGTTCATACAGTGCAGAGGCACAGGACGATGGCAAAACATCATATGAAAGGATTAAATTAAAGACCTGAAATGTCAGTGTTTTCTCAAAGTGAAATTTGGGAGATATAATTACCCTAAAACATCAATTAATAGCCCGGACTTTTGTTTGCTTAAATCACTGAACTCGCCCTGCCTATACAGGTGCTGGTCATATAATTAGAATATCATCAAAAAGTTGATTTATTTCAGTAATTCCATTCAAAAAGTGAAACTTGTATAATGTATATGATTAATTCCACACAGACTGATATATTTCAAGTGTTCATTCCTTTTAATTTTGATGATTATAACTGACAACTAATGAAAACCCCAAAATCAGTATGCAGCTGGAGTCAGTGCTTCAAGAACCACCACGCACAGACGTATGCAAGACATGGGTTTCAGCTGTTGCATTCCTTGTGTCAAGCCACTCTTGAACAAGACACAGCGTCAGAAGCGTCTCGCTTGGGCTAAAGACAAAAAGGACTGGACTGCTGCTGAGTGGTCCAAAGTTATGTTCTCTGATGAAAGTAAATTTTGCATTTCCTTTGGAAATCAAGGTCCCAGAGTCTGGAGGAAGAGAGGAGAGGCACAGAATCCACGTTGCTTGAAGTCCAGTGTAAAGTTTCCACAGTCAGTGATGGTTTGGGTGTCATGTCATCTGCTGGTGTTGGTCCACTGTGTTTTCTGAGGTCCAAGGTCAACGCAGCCGTCTACCAGGAAGTTTTAGAGCACTTCATGCTTCCTGCTGCTGACCAACTTTATGGAGATGCAGATTTCATTTTCCAACGGGTCTTGGCACCTGCACACAGTGCCAAAGCTATCAGTACCTGGTCCATGGGATCCCTGTTTGGCCAGCAAACTCGCCTGACTTCAACCCAATAGAAAATCTATGGGGTATTGTGAAGAGGAAGATGCGATACGCCAGACCCAACAATGCAGAAGAGCTGAAGGCCACTATCAGAGCAACCTGGGCTCTCATAACACCTGAGCAGTGCCACAGACTGATGGACTCCATGCCACGCCGCATTGCTGCAGTAATTCAGGCAAAAGGAGCCCCAACTAAGTACTGAGTGCTGTACATGCTCATACTTTTCATGTTCATACTTTTCAGTTGGCCAACATTTCTAAAAATCCTTTTTTTTGTATTGGTGTTCAGTAATATTCTAATTTTCAGAGATACTGAATTTGGGATTTTCATTAGTTGTCAGTTTTAATCATCACAATTAAATGAAATAAACATTTGAAATATATCAGTCTGTGTGTAATGAATGAATATCCAAGTTTCACTTTTTGAATGTAATTACTGAAATAAATCAACTTTTTGATGATATTCTAATTATATGAACAGCACCTGTATATGGGACAGACCTTTAGTGTCATTCCTTTACCAAGCTGGTAAATGTGAATAATTAATACTTTGGTGCTCAATGTTTCCGTAAAATGAACTAATCAATTGAATTGTGGAGAATCTAACCGATCTTATGATGTAAACTATGTCCATATTGACAAAAGTATAAACATTGGTGTGCACGATCTAAGCAGCTTAGTAGCCTAACAGCTAAAGCGGGTGACCCGGTGGATTTCAAAAGGTTTTATACATCCAATTTGGGGTGATTTATAAAAAATTTTGTTTGCTTTCTTCAAGTCAATAAAATAATGTAATATTAGTTTCATCTCAAAGTAATGTAAAAGAAAATTATAAATTATATGAGCCCTTCCATGTGACTCACCAAACAGTATATCCTGAAATGTTATCAGAATCAAAACCAGAAGGAGCTTTATTACCAACTAGCATTTAACACGTAGGAGTAGGATTAGGTGCAAGACATGAACATACAGCTGACATAAATAAATGCTAAAATATATAAATATGGAATAAACAGATGCAAGTTATGAAAGAATAATAGCACTATGTGTAAAGAAAAAACAAAACAATGTGACATTACTCCAGATTTGTGTATCATGGTGTACTGATATGTTGTACAGCCTAAAATACCCAATAATGTTATATTCAGTGAGATTTTCTTCTGTAAAGCCCTGTAATAAAGCAGCTTTAAAGTGGAGTGAGAAAAAAAACATTTATTAGCCATTTCTCTAGTAATTTGACTGCAAGGGAACATGACTAACATTATGAAATGTGATATAATGCAGTGGGTTGAGTGTGTGTTTGATGCTATCTGTGTCAAATCTGTTTATGTAACATCATGACTCACCTCTCTTTAGATTTTGCCAGAACAACCTCCTGAGGATGAACACCTACACGCATAATCAGTGACGCATACTGACTTGTATTGGCAGAAACAGCTTGAATGAGACCATTAAAGATGAAGATGAGTAAAGCACATTTACAGTAGTAGCGGGTTTGGCATATTATTTCTACAAAATAGTTTAATCCCTTTGGAGCTCGTGACTCCACATGCTCTTGAAAATAAGCATTGATTTTATTGAATTAATCTATTAGAGGTCTTCAGAGTTAGTTATTTCAATACAGTGTTAATATCAGTAGCAGATCTACTTTTAAGCTGCTACATTTTGAACTATATATGTCTTTTGTCAGGTAAAAGAGTTAAACTTTTTAAGCAAGCAAATTACATAATGAATTAATTTATGCAATGAAAGAAACACAAATTCTAAAAAGTCAGCGTCCCTTTGTCCTATTAACTATTTAAAGTTACAATTCTTAGAGATTTGTGTTTTAAAGGAAAGGAGGTGATGCACTCTCTGTTGACTAAAATTAAAACCTTAAAGTAGTTGAGCGAAAACTAAAAAAATCCTGATTCTGAACTAAATCTATACACAACATTTTCAGTAAACATGAGTGCACTGCACCTTGAATGTACCTCTTTTTATAAAAATTGCCTAAACATGATACAGCACAGGCTGTGCAAATTATGGCTTATACTGGCTTTTATATATTACATGCTTTTATTCTGAAATTCCCCTTAATTGGTTTCTGGGCCATTATGAGAATATATAGCCTTTTAAAATATAGACATATTTGTACCATATAACCTGCACACACACTGTGCAAGTGGAGGAATACACCTAAAAGTATTAAAATCCAATACAAAAACAAAGTCGTGACAAGCCGTACTTGTATTTCCTGTTACACAACCAATGAAAAAAAAAAAGAAAAAAAAAGCATTATAAATTTCAACATAATTGTTAGGATCTGGTCATCTTTAGACAAGATTTGGCTACAGTTATAAATAAAAATGTGTAAAAACTGCCTCCACCGTAAACATTATAACACAGTTTAGCAGGAATAACTTTCTTTTATTTGTGTGAAACCTGAAAGTACTCTTATGATCTACTGATCAGTTTAGAATTATATAATACTGTGAATATATAATGACCAATCACAGGATTACTGTAAAGACATATGGATATGTGGATGCTGCAGCTGTACCCAAGTTTATTGTTCAGCGCTATTAAAATAAATCCCATTAAATCTAAGCACATACAGCGCATTCTGTTTGGAATTAATTATTGACTGAGCAGCTCTGGGTTGTGTCTCTTGTTGACATTACAGATTAGATTAAATCATGCTAACATGTTAGCCGTTTATGAACAGATTAAGATCAGATCTTCTGAAAAGAAGAGGCATCAGTATGTTAAATACGTTTGAATTTTATTAAATGGAACATTTAGAACAGATTAACAGGGGATGATAAAATAAGATATTAACAAAATAAATTGGTAAATTTTCATTCTTAAGTATTAGAAATGACAAATCAGTGCTCAGGATGCTAAGGAACAAAGTCTACAGATTTAGGTCAAATAAAACAATAATTCACATTAATGAAACATTTTGGGAAATCATCTTTCTTGCTGCCTAAAGTTTATAAAAGTTTCATCTTTGCCAGCAGAGTTTGGCCACAATGTGTTTAGCATCGCTTAGCACTGAAAGGTGAAAACTGGTCCAGGTTGATTGTTGCAAGGAATTCTGGGACAACATTTAATTAACATCAATAGGCACATTAATAAAAAGGGCATGCTGACAAACTGACCCCGACTTGTAAGGATTTGCTTTACACGACAACAGTAACACATGACTGTTCATCTCCCTCTGACTGACTCTCAAGAGATAAATATATCTACTTTAGGGAGAAAATATGGCAACAGAGTAACCTGGAAAACCCCCCACAAATTATTACATTTTTACCTTAAACTCATAATTAAAAAAATGATTAAGAAATAATTAATTAACTTAAGAAATAAAAACATTTAGTTTGTCCAGTTAATATTTTAAGTAGATGCTTACTAATACTTAAATAATATAAATTCTACAAAACTATCTACATGGTCAGTGCAGTTAATACACAATCACCTGATTTTAAAAAAAGGCTATGTAGTGGAGCTTGAGTTAAGATCGTTCTTTAAACTACTGTCTCCAAGGTCAAATTTAATTTTCACGCTAAATACGGGGAGCATAAAGGTGTCAACATAATGTTACGGGAAAGCTTATGGAGTGTCCAAAATAGGAAGAGTTTATTTTACGGGGAGCATGAATGAAAAGATGCTGGCATTATGTTGACTATGTACATGTCATTACTGCCACCAACATAGACCATGTGGGGAGTGATATATGCTGTTTTCATGCGGCATATATGAGAGCACATGAGCACATATATAAGAACAGTAATGTGTCTCAGGTCAAAGTGGTGTCTGTTGGTGAATAAGGAATGATCTATAGGACAGTGGGAATTGGGATGTGCTGTTTAAGAGTCACATGAGCCAGTGGAGCAGCAGCATCATACCCAACAACAACAACAACAACAACATACAATCCACACGTTTGTTGTTGTGTTTCACGGCTGATGAAACGAAGCGGATATTTCCAGTGTCTGAACTACAGTACATGAACTAACACGTGTATGTTTGCTAGTCATACAAAACAGTGAAGATTTCATTGATTTATAGGGAAAAACAAGGTCAGGAGGCTAAAAAAATAAATGTCAAAGTGTGGTGTCATTTTCAAATCTCAAATTCCACATTAAGCATGGTTTTGGTCCTTTAGCGTTGTTTCTGTATGGGCAACACAGCGGGATTAAGTACATTACTGTTCACCTCACCTTTCAGCTGCTTGTGTGTAAAGATGGAGTCCAAGTTCTCTTATTTGAATAAATTTTTGACCTCAACAACAAAAAGAAAAAACACCTGTTGTCAGCACAAGGGAAGGATATTCACCTTGATAAAGTTATTAAAATAAAGGATTTTCATTATGTACTGAAAGTAATGTTATGATCACAGTTCCTATAGCAGCTGGTTCTTAGTTTTGTGGCAGACATCGCCATGTTTGTTGCTGCTCTAAGACGCGTTCTTACTTTTGTTGTTCATCAGAAAACAACTGACTTGGCAGCTTCAGTTTTGTTACAACGTACTTTCTGCGACGTTCTTCGTTCATCCAACATGAAAGCAGCGTGACTCAAAGGGCTTCGTACCAAACTCACCCTTGTTTCCCTCCCATTTCCCCTCTTTCCCTCCCATCTGTCTGTTTCCATCTCGTTACCTATTCAGTCCCTTCCCATCTTTTTCTTTCCCTCTCACATTTCTGGCTGATGTCGCTCTCAGTCAGTCTTGGTGGTTTTGTGTCTCCAGGGGTAAATCAGCTCCCCGACAAACAGCTTCTTGACCAGGGCCGCCCACGAGTCTTTGGGGTAGCAGCTGTAAGTCGGGGTGCGGTAGGTCTGAACCACAGCGCTGCACTTAAGAGGGTTAATCTGAGGAAAAAAAAAAACACATAACAACCTGATAATGTGAACAAATAATAACAAAAAGAGACAAAAATAATAAATGCTTACATAATTTATTACGTGTGGTAAAACTGCCAGAACTGCAGTGGAGGAGTACTTCATTATACCGAGCCTCAGAACAGACATGGAGGAAAGAAATCTACTCCTCCATTCTCAGTAAATCTTTTGTTTTTCCTCACACAGCCTCTTTCACACAGAGATCCTCCAATAAACGCATCAAATAGCGTTCTGGCTTTCCGGGTTACCTCCACTGAGTCCACCTACGCCGCAGCTGCCTGAGCTCTTCCAGTTAATTTTCAAAATAAAACACCCTGTGCAGACTCCCGATCGTAAAACAACAATAAACACTGTTAAAACAGACAAAAAACGAAAGCATTTAACTACATAGCCTACTTTATCATAGAAGAAGCACTAAAACAAGCACTGATGCCCAAATCAATAAAATCTAAACATGTCAGAAAAATTGGGCAGGCAAAATGCTCTGATTCTGAAATGCTCCCTGTGGATATGCAGCCTGAAGTTGATGGAACGAAACAGACTCATTGAAAGGTGTGAAGAAGGTAGCAGAAGCACAGAAAATGACAAATTAACAATAAGTCAATGCTGAGACACTTCTAGTAGGCTGGGGACCTAACAAAACCGTGGCGCAGCCAGAGTCAGTGGACTTTCAGAGTTAGATAGCTGAAAAAAAGACAGCAACTTGTGGCACAACAGTGTTGAAACGTCACTCTTGTTCCGGTATGGCGGCTGTGGCTTTTCACACAGACATCGTTCCGCCTCTGTTACTACCAACATTCCCGCTCAGAGGTGGATCAAATCTGACCCCCCTTTCCGGCTCGGTACCTTTCATACAGCGAGCCGGCATATTAGCGTAATAATCCCAGAAAACTGGGCAGTGTGACTTTAAGACTTTCAAATCAAATCCTTTAACTGACCAGATGTATTTTAAGACATAAAAATTCTGTGCTTTGTCTAATAATTTGAAAATGTCCTTGAAAAAGTTTCACTGGATGTCTCCTACTATACTGAGAAGTCATATCTCAAGTTTCCATATCTTGTGTAAATTGCATACTGGACCCTGACTGGCTCCAAAACTAGTTGAGATGTCACAAAATCATCTTGTACGCCCAGATGTTAAACTATGTCCTCTGTATACTTCCCTTTTTGACTGGATTCAAATGCACAAAGCCTACACTACGTATGTCAAAATTACATAAACACTTCACTTCCTGTCCTGAGACAAAATGAAACCTAAACCTGATCATGGAGGAGGGGCCTTTTTTTTTTTTTCCCCTTTTTTTCTTGCACCCCAGAGAGTCTACTACCAACTTCTAGGAGGATACAGTGGCCACAGGATTAAAAAACAGAATAATTGTCTTCAGATTATGAGCTGAGTGGAAGTGCTTGGTTTTGGAAATATCCCTCAGCTGGAGGAAAGAAGACCGACTTCACCAGACAAACTTCAAATTCTACATTTAAGATCAATAAACAGAAACAAAATGTGACTTCTCACCTCCATCAGCAGGTGAAGGGCCGTCCCAGGCTCCTCACACAGCACCCTGAACTTCACACCCTCTTTAAAGAACACGAGACACACGTCAATGAGAGGATTTTGAATCATGTCATTCATCTGTTCATCCATAAAATTAGCACTTTTATTTCAAGACTGTTTCCGCGACCCTGTACGCAGGATAAGCAGTTGACGATGGCTGGATTTCAAGACTGTTCAAGACATTTAAATGACCAGCAGATACACTGAATCGGTTTTGCAACTTTAATTAACATCAACATCTTTCATCCAACTTTTTTGCAGCAGTATTTCACAAATCAAGTGGGGAGCTGATAAAGGCGACGTTACCTGCCAGTCTGTAGGACCGAAAGATGCGGAGGCCCATGGCGAACAACGGGAAGGAGTTAATGAAGTCCACGCTGAGGTGGAGGACGCCCTGGAACAGCACCACCACCAGCCGCAACTGCACAAGACAGGGACATACGAGGGTTAAAAACAAACAAACAAACAAACAACAAAAAATTCAATCCAAACAATAATACCAAATACAAGCTGTTTCTCACCATTCAGATTATTAGTGAAAGAATGATCTAATTCTTCCCTGAAAGGTCTGAGGGAATTATTCTTAATACATATGTATGGAACGAAGGCATGTTTACAACAAACACTTTATAGACGGCAGGAATGTTCTAGCCAAACCTTGGCAACTGGGAAGTTAGTAAACTGAGCTAATTACTATTTGTTACTAATTTAGCTAACGTTACATAACAGCCAAAAAAGGTGCTGTACGATTGATTTTTCCTAACCACCCCTAGAAAGGAGAGCCCCTAAAGAAAGTCTGGCGTAGGGCTCCCAATTTTCTAGATCCGGACCCGTCTGTGTTGTTTATAATACAGACACATACGGTCCCCCCCAAAAGTATTGGAACGGTAAGGCAAATTCATTTGTTTTTGTTGTTCACTGTATGAGACAAGAGGTCAGAATTTCAGCTTTCATTTCGTGGTATTCACATCTAGATGTGCTAAACAACTCAGGACATATCACCCTTTGTTTGAACCCACCCATTTTTCAAGTGAACAAAACTACTGGAACATGTGTTGCCTTTTAGGCTGATTGTCCAAACATTAAATAGCTCTGCATGACTAGTTTTCATCAAACCTATAAAGACTGCATTTCCTGTTAAATGAAATTTGCAAAGAAGTACAGAGATGAGCCACAAAAGTTCTGCAACACAATCTGATGGACTGATGAGACCAAGATTAATCTCTAGCAAAGTGACGGAAAGGCCAACGTGTGGAGAAAGAAAGGAACTGCTTATGATCCGAAGCTCATCTGTGAAGCATGGTGCGGGTAATGTCATGGCTCGGGCCTGCATGGCTGCTCCTGGATCAGGCTCATTAATATTTATTGATGTAACTGATGATGGTCGCAGCAGAATGAATTCAGAAGAAACATTTTGTCTGCCAATTTACAGAGAAATGATTGAAACTAATGGGGAGGAAGTTTATCATGCAGCAGGACAATGAGCCAAAGCACACTGCCAACAAAACAAAGGACTTCATCAGGGGGAAAAAGGTTTTAGACTGGCCAAGTCAATCAGCTGACCTTAACCCAATAGAGCTGCATTTCACCTCCTTAAGAGGAGACTGAAGGGAGAAACACCCCGAAACAAACAAATGAAAGAAGCTGCGGTAAAAGCCTGGAATAGCTTCACAAATTAAGAATGCAACAGTTTGGTGATGTCGATGGGTCGCAGGCTTGAGGCAGTTATTGCAAGCAAAGGTTATGCCACCAAATATTAAATGTTATTTACTTTAAGATTATTTGTTCCATTACTTTTGCTCACCTAAGAATGCTGTGGTCTAATACAAACGGTGATATGTCCTGAGTTTTTTAACACATCTAGATGAGAATACCAGGAAATAAAAGCTGAATTTCTAAACTCTTGTCTCATACAGTGAACAACCTTACCGTTCCAATAGTTTTGGAGGGGACTGTTTATGTATATTTTACGTGCTGCACAGAGCCATCAAATTCAGTGGGCATACGTGGCATGTGCCACTTTGTGTGCTGAATAGAAATGAAGTGGAAACCATGACCAACCGCCTCAGGGCCCTTGGTATTTTGGAAATTTGGAAGGCTTAGCAACCATCCTACAGCTGAAAACTTAGACATGGTGGGTATTGTTTAGGCTGGTTCCAGTATTTTAAGACTCAGTATGTTCAAATGACTAATTTTAGGCCACTAAATAAATGATGCAGAATATCTCGACCACAGTTTCATTCCTGGTCAGTGTGAAGACAGCTTTAAAAAAAAAAAGGAAAAGAAAAGCTCTAACGGGTCTGTAATTTCCCGATTATTTCCAAGAAGGTTGAATGGCAAGAACATCTGGTGCTTATTAAAGGGAAAACGGGAACAAAGTAGATGTGTCCTAAGGAAATTTTCCTTGGAACAACTTTGTTACGTAAACAAAACTTAAAGAAATATAAAATCGACCAACCAACTCAATTTATAAAATGTGAAAATTGGTGATAAATTTGTGTCTAGGTCTTCAGTATATCCAGAATCCAGTCTTTGCTTGAGACTCGTCTTACCAGAGTAAAGACCAGGTAGTAGAGCGCCGTGGTAGGGAGCAGGAATAGCAGGATGGTGAACAGCAGTGTTCCAATGAAGAGCTGAAGCACCACAAACACAAAACACACTCACAGTTAACATCTAGACTTCTGTGTTGGTGACTGTGTGTTGGTGACTATGTGTGTTACCTGGTCCACGTCATAGGAGCAGGAGTCAACCCTCTGCCGCAGGACGTTCCACTTCTTCCCTCTGAAGAGCCTCCAGAGAGATGAGAGGCCGTAGATCTTCAGACAGTAGAGCCTGACGGAGACACAGACCGCTGATCAACAGCTAAATAAATGTTACCCAGTTCCTCCACAGTGAGAGGCTTAAGAAAGGGGCAGTGTTGGGAAGTAACTAGCTGCATGTAATTTAATTACAAAATAAATGTATATGTAATCGGTTAATATACAGTATATGTTGATAAATATGTTGAATAATATTAATTTTGTTGCTTTGCATGTTTTTCGTTGCCGTAGTTAGATACTGTTCTGATTAGGGCTGAACGATTAACTGTGGTTGATTCAATCTGTCCTTCAGATTCTTCCTGCTCATTTTTTTTAAAAGTAAAATATCATATTACACGTGTAATGGTAAGTCTGTGATCAATGACATCTGAGATTGGCGTGGGTTCGACATTTCGTCCGGGGTGGAAAAGTCCTTTTTGGGACCATTGCCCGGTTTGGACACACTGCCAGCAGAAGGTAAGATAAATTTTACTTTTTAACATGTTTAAATTTAAATAACTTTATATAAATAATAGCCGTGATGTGCACAAATATGTGAAGAAGCATATTTGATTGAGTAAAGACACTTTTTACCTTTATTTACTGTATATAGTAAAAAATAAATAAATAATTCGTTGCCTGGACGGCAAGATTGTGCAGTTAGACCACTTTTGTTTGAACAATAACATTCTTGTGGATGGATATGTGCAGGGATGCATAGTTATCACCATAATCTTTTGTTTTTGCTTTACTATCTACTAGTACTTAAAGGAAATGGATGCACAAAGGAACGCATTCAGACACACACACACACACACACACACGCGCCCATTTTCTTACCCACCGATTGATAAACCGAGGCAAGTTTCTCCTTGCCTCTGTCGCCTAGTGCTGCTCTTGGTGGGAATTGTTGGGTTTCTGTAAATAATATCACAGAGTACGGTCTAGACCTGCTCTTTATGAAATTTAATCCCAATTAAAAGCCTAGTCCCATTTAGACGCTTGTCCTTTACTGGCCTGCGGTCTCATTTATAAAACTCCCAAACGCCCAAAAGACAAATTATTCAGAAGAAAGAAAATATTCAGACTTATAAAACTGTTCGTACGCACACTTGTAAGCAAGTTCCCTTTATAAAATCACAATCGACTTGAAATGTGGCGCATGCGAGGGAGCTCCATGTCCGACCCTTCAAACGCCCATAGTTGCCTATAAATGGTCGGTGAAACGTCCCTCATTAATATTAATACGCACTGACTGCAGGAAGAAAAGGAGGCAAAATCTGATGAAAAAAAAATAAATTAAGTTTAACTCAGTGACACGGACGTTCCTTTTGGTGAAAATGAAATTGTTTGGTGGGTAAAAAAATGCATTTTCACGCAACGCTTGTGCACCGGAGGGAAGGGGACACCCGAGCTCCGCCCCTTTATAACCAATCTGCAGGAAAGGGCATCCCTCCCGAGTAGCGACGTCACTGGCCGGAGGGGGACACACACACAATGTCCCAGGTACTAAATTGGATTCCCCCGTTGGAAAAGAGATTAAACCAAATGCATTCCACTTGTGTTTGAACATTTATTTAGGCTACACAAACAGTCCACTCACTTAATGAGGCTGCCGATGAGTTAAAATAAATATGACTTGTTGTAAATGTTATATTTCCATAATGTGTTTTTACAAGCAGCGCATCACATCCACAAACTGCCGCACAGCGTTTGGCTCAATAAGGCAACGATGATAATGATAATACATGAAACTATGCTCTCGTATTTCCTCAACTGACGCACTGAAAACGACATCAATTTAAAAGTAATTAGTCCTCCTGTTCACCTTATTTATTATTATTATTTATTGAGAATAAACTGCACTGCATGCAAGTATTAATTAATATGATTCCTGATTAAACTTATTATCCTAAATCTGGATGTTTTTGCTGCAAGTGATCTTAAATTGTGTGTTTTTTGCGCACCTTAGGGAAAGTCAATCAAACGAGTGTTTGTTTATTCAGAAAGGCTTTAAGCCTTTAATACTCAGAGCTAATACTTCGATTTATTTTACACAATAGTAGGCCTATTCATTTCAAACCATTTCACCCTTCTGAGTCGCCGTTTCTCATTTCTTCTCTTTATGTGCGTACGCATGGTTCAGAGTTTACTTACAGGACCGCACATTTTCCGGTCAAGATTTTTTTTTTTTTTTTTTTTTTTTTAAACAGATCACAACCTTTGCTTGGGAAGGGGCGTACGCACGTTTCCAGCCCTGTTTTGTACGTACGCACCGTTTATAACGGAGACCCCTGGTGTGGCTACAGGTTTTGACAATAAACGCAGGTCTCAATGGGACCTGGTCTGGTTTTCATAGAAGTTTGCTAGATGTATAAAACCTCTTAAAGCCCACTTGAGCTACTTCTAAGCTGCTTAGAGCGTGCATACAAATATAAATGTTGAAACTTTTTTTCAAAATGGACATGCTACACATCTCAATCGCTCAGTTCATTTTACAGAACCAATGAGCACCAAAGTATAATTTATTCACATTTACCGGCACGGTAAAGGAATTAAAGGCCTTTCTCAAATGTAGGGCAGGATGAGTTCAGTGATTTAAGCAAATACAAAACTTAAGTTTTACGATAAACCTGGAAGGGCTATAGTTACTTACTTTGATTTCACGTACAGTCTTGTCTTTGGATTGTAATGTACTCAATCTACATTTCATTTTGTTTTGACGAGTAAGAATGAGAGACTTTAACCCTTCTATAACTTCATTAACCTGGTCACCAAACCAACATACAACAAACTGTATGTGTAGAAAGGTACTTGGCAATAAAGCTGCTTCTGATTAGAAAGAGAGATAATACACATTTAAAACAGAAACAGTTAGTATTCATGTTCACATTCTGGGTGTAACATCCTACATTACACTCCCTAAAGACAGACAGAGAAGCTTTCTAAAGCTACTTCTAAAGCACAAGTAGAGCTTTTATTCATCCTCTCCAAAGTAGATTGTGCTCACAACAGGAGATATTTTTAGGTCCAGGCATACAGATTTAATAAGCAACTCTGACAAAGGTTCTCAAACTGAATTTAAAGACACACACACACACGAAAAGGGCTGTTGGAGCATAAATATGTAACAAGGAAAGTGGGTAATATTTCATTATGCACCTCGGGCGAGGGAGCAAAGCTATCTTTAGAGCAAATGCATAATTTAGTCAATCCTCTCTCCTCCAACATCTAAGACTATTATCAAAGTGTTCAGCCGTCCATCACACCACGCACCAGGTTTAAAATAAATCTGAATGGAAATCAAAGGACGTCCACTTACCACACATGATTTATGAATATTAAGAATTTGACTATCAACACACTCCTCCTTTAATCCTCAAACAGGACTTACCAGTGGTGACATGTTACAGCATGTCTGTACATGCCCCCGACATGTTATCAAGTTTGACAGTGCGTTTCTGTTCACTCCAAATCTTAAACTCATGAACCACTGAGCTGAAACCATGAAGACTCAAAAGGTTAAACTATGTTTAGATCTTTGAGTGCAATGATGCAGCAAAAGCCAGTTTTTAAGCAATTCCACCAAACTCTACAGCACATCTTCCACAAAAAAAATAAATAATTAACACGGCTACAGCCATGAAGAATGTTTCACAATTACATAATTTTAAATTCTTGGCGCTCACGGCTGCAACAGTTTCTTTTGACTAAATGTTTGCCATCTCTTATCGTCAGTGTTTGTATTGTCCCAAAAAAAACACCAAATGCACAGGAACAGCAAACATCTCGACTATGAGAAGAGCAGTTTACCAACTGAGGCTGACTGAAGGGAAACAACTCTAAGCACTAAATTATTTCATACAAACCATCTGACCCAGTTCACGTGAATTTGAATCTAGTGTGTGCTGATGCAGAAGTAGGCTTTTTCTGCTGCAGTTTGATCTTTGAATCATTTCCGATTAAGAGTGCACAGAATCACTGCATATTAATACATCTCATTAACAGCGGGGCCCAAACATGGCAATAACGTCGGTCCTTCCATCGCTGTCGTCCAGAGCAACAACTACTCGTCAAATAACATGAGTCATGACATTTGGGATGGACAGTCATAATCCCCAGAAAGTGGTTCCTAATGCTAGCCCTACAGGAAGAAATACACAAATCTTTGATTTCCATTTTGGACAGTAGCTCTCCTGGTGCAATAATCATTTTGTGCTCTTACCTCCACTCAACCCCTGCAGGGACATTCACAAAAGGTTATACCAAGACTCTGTAATTAAACTGTCAATACGAGAGCAACAGAGAAGGAAATAGGCTTGAAAAATACGCCCCCTGCAGGAAAAGAAAATGAACAACTAACACAAATACATATCATAAAATATAAAGTTTGATTAATAATCAGCAACGATCCTTTTGCTTTCAGCCATGCTTGTTCACGGTTCGCAGTCTTTTTTACAGATAATTTGACTCCCCCCCCCCCTTTCATTTTCCAGGTGTTTTCCCTGACTGGAAAACTGTTTTCCAGGTGTTTTCCCTGACATGTGGGAACCCTGTTGTTCGTAAGTGTATGACGTCATTACATCAACATGTTGAAATACTTGCCATTATCACAAAATACATTTTTAAAAATCATATTAAAAATGATAACGATATATTGTGAATGAAATAATCTGGCACACCCTTATTCCCCACTACGAGCAGGTGAAACAGATGTGTGAAGGATTTCATCAAAATGTATAACAAACAAACTGCAATTCTAATAAAACATATGAGACAAGAGAGGGACACGGAGGGCGTGTTATAGTCTGAAATATGACCTACGCACAAGTAAGACCTCCCCAGTTCATCAGGGGCCAGTTTGACAAAATTTACAACATGTAAGCCACAATTAGAAAAATCAGATAATTTCCTCTTAAATTATTTTCACTCATTAAAACAAAAGACCCCACTAGTGACCCATGCGTGCGAGAGCCCTGCTGAACTTTATCATTTTGTGAGCGAGGATCATTTGTGAAACGTGATGCTGCAATCTGTGTGTAAGCAGCGCTCGCAAATCACCTTTCCCCCCCATGCTGAGTAAATTAACAACCCCAGACTGCTTCTGTTAGCTCATCAGGTAGACACAAACTAGCACTACTCATCAAAATACTGATTTTGAAGGGACACACACACAAAAGCTCTCTGGGTAATTAAACCTCTCAAATGTTTGACCCAGTAATGAGTTAGCAGCAGTTTGTGATTCAGTCTTCAGAGAGGCTAAATCTACACGGACAGTACTCCCTAAATCCGTTTGTCGTAACTTTAAATTTAAGTCCCAAAACATGCTACTCATTTCTTTTCCACACAGCACCTGGTTCTCTGATTCGTAGCAGTAAAAAGGGAACATAAAACTTGGAGTATCAGGTCTCACCTGGCGCCGTAGACGTAGAAGCAGTAGATGTGGAAGGTGAGCAGGGCGACCATGTCAGAGAGCAGCGAGAGGGCGAAGGTCAGGCCCAGGCAGGCTGACAGGCCTCCGTACCACAGGATCCCCTCCATGAAGGGAGACATCAGGTGGATGTAGCCTGGATGGAAAGAGGATCCACACAGTATGACCAGTGAAATGACCTTTGAAGCCTTTAGAGGCCACAAGCGGAGCTCTTACCCCTGTTTAACATGAAAAAAGGTAAAAATACATAGACAATGTTTTGTGCTGTGACTCACTGATCCAGAGGTGAATGTGGTAGAGGAAGAAGCGGCCCAGAACCTGGTCCAGGGCCCGGTTCATCTTCAGCCCCGCAGGAGCTCCCATCAGCCACTGCAGCAGCTCCTCCAGCTCTTTAGCCACATGCTGAGGAAGAATAACAGGAGTTTAACCGTAGGACAAAGAAACCTGACTACAACATTTCAATCATCAGCGAGTAGAGTTTTCTCAGATGTCAGACTGTCTGCTAAGATTTTTTTCTTTTTTTAAAATCAAACCATTTCCAAAGTCAATAATGAAGCATCAGGTTCAATATTTACTCGACTTGATTAGCGTTTCCAAATAATAAAAAAATAAAACCTAACCTGCTTGCAGCAACTTTCCTTTCCTTCCTTTCATAGCACAGCATTTTTTAATTTGTGTGGCGTCTTTTGAAAGGAAGCCAAAAAGTGGCAACGGTTATATGCAAGATAGCAATATTCAATATCTTGTGGTCTTGAGATAATATCATTTCATCATCATCATTTCCGTTTTTTTGTTGCATTGGGTAATAATTTGAAAAACAGGGTAGAAGGTGTCATAACATTACACGTTACATTAAGTCGTTTAGCTGACGCTTTTATCCAAAGCGACTTACAATTGCTATTTTTTATGTCAGAGGTCGCTCGCCTCTGGAGCAACTAGGGGTTAAGTGTCTTGCTCAGGGACACATTGGTGGATGGGTTATAATGGGGAATTGAACCAAAGGCATGCGTCCTACCCACTGCGTCATCACCACCCCAAATTAGTAGTATATTTCCTTTATTTAATAGTCAAGCGTGTAGTAACTGACAGGAAAAGTAAGGGGGAAAGAGAGCGGGCCATGATAAGAATCAGAGGTTCTCAGCTGGAATTGAACTGGTGCCATAAAGAGTCCTTTTTATTTTTCCACATATGTTGGTGTTGAAATGAACAGTAGGTACAAAATGTTTTGGAAATCAGTGCAGTAGCTGCTTCAGCTGGTAGCTGAAGCAGCTACGTAGCAAGCAACGTATTCCTTCAGGGTCATTACGGCCGTCAAAAAGCGCTTCTTTTTGCTTTTTCTCAGACTGTTTTACCAGGTGTCTGACAACATCATGGAAAGGATCCAACGAGGGGACCCAGTAACCTCCTTTGTTTTTAACAAGAAACTAAAAAAAAAAAAATAAATAAAACTTACTCAGGGACAGTTCTCACTCTGAAATCTCGTGAGAGGCGAGTTGTTGCAGGAAGATGACGGTTGAAACACGTCACTCCAACACAACAAACTCCTCTCCCCAACTGTGACTCACATTTCCAACGACGTCTTGCTGCAGCTGCCCACTAGTCATTTTAACACCAAATTATGTCAAAACAGGGCCCAGGTTTAAAAACACCGACATTATCCTTAGAGCATGAGGCTACAAGTGTGTCCCCACAACAGTGTAATTATTTGTCCCACACAAACCTGTCGCCTAATTCGGACGACAATATCAGCCGGACAAAACTAAAATGAAAGTTAAGTCCAATAGATGCTCGTTTTAACCCATGAAGTGTGTCTTGGAGGAAGATAATCAACAACTGTGATATTAAGACACTGTGACACTACAATCACCTAATCTGACGTCTAGAAAGAAAAATATATATCGTGTGGTCTGACCTCAGCTGATGTAACTCACACACACACACTTACATCAGCGGCAGGCACCAGTGTGTTGGCCAACATGCTGATGTGGTCGTCTCTGTAGAGCCACGAGATGAGCAACATGCCGAGAGCTACGTCCACCAGGAACGAGACCACGATGTTGGCTTTCCTACAGACAGACATGACGGTAACAACAGGAGAGGAGAGTCACTTTCAGCAGCGGTTCATCTCTCCCTGGCAATTGAAGTTAATGAAAGGTAAGTCAATTAAAATATATCATCATTAAAATAAGATGAAATTAAAAATAGATAATACTATATCAGAAATGCAGTTATTCTCTGGTTCCAGTAGAGTAAAGGGTTCAAAATCTTATTTAGGGGTTGTACCAGAACAAGTTTACATGGTTAACAAGGCTTCGTTTTAGCTATGGAGTGATGCTTCTTGTCTGTAAATGATCTTTGTTGGGAGTTGCACATGTGCAGTTCCTAGTTAAGGACTACTAGCGAGAAGCCCGTAAACAGCTTCGATTCAGCTGCACATGTTGCCGACCAGCTTGGCAACACAGACTGGATCAAGAGTTTCAGAGTGTATCTGTAACAAAAGTATCTTATATCCATAAAGTTTTAACTGAGCTCTGTCTCTACATCACAGTAAGAACTTTATGTCCACTGACTGCTGGAGGGTAGCTAGTGTTTGGAAAGGAGAGGAGAGCTGTGCTGCAGCTCACTGTTTTTCAACCAGTGTTTTTGAGGGCGTGTCAGACTAGCCGCTTGGCGAGCGTTATGAGACGCATTTAGCTTTCATCCCTGTGACATCACAGCTAAATGAGCACCATAATACCACCTCTTTAATACATTAAGAACTTGATGTCAGAGACTGAGGATTGTGGGTCAGTTTGGCCAGAAAAGCACGCTTGCTTTCACACTTCAAAATTCAACCTGAAGTAGTAGGACATCCTGGTACTTCTGGCATACTACATTTGACATACTATGTATTGGGACATGCTAAATCTTTTTCTGGCACACTGAATAGTTTTGGGTATTCAGTGTTTCCCGCAGAATGACAGACAACTCGCAGAAAAGACACAGAACTCGTCTTCTGGATTTTTCCCAACTGCGATTCGGTTTTCAGACGCAGGTGCGCCCCTTGTGGAGGCTCGTTCACGACGTAAATTTGACAACATAATCAATGTGTAAGCTAACGAATCTGCTCTTCGGGTAGGCTTACTGCCCCTTTATCTGGTCTGTGCTTGTAACATATCCACCATGTCTGCGACAACTCTTTTGGCTTTTTCTGTGTTCTCATGTTCTTCAGCGGATGATTACTAATACTTTTTTGGTGTCCTCTAACTCCAGCTTTAGGACAAAAGTTCCACTTGTACAAATAAAAAAAAAAAGTGCCTGCATCTGTGCTCTGAATTTTCTGCATTTAGTGACTCCCCTTCTTCTTCTTCTTCTTCTGTGATCACCAAGTCTTTGGGAATTCTTTCTGTTTCAGGAACTCCACGGGCTTTACTTCAGTACAAACTATGTGTAAACCCCCCCAGCCCCCCACATATCTGCTTTGACAGGCACGTGTTCTGAGGTGACTGACTGGAGCTGTTCACCTTATAAAAAGCTTGAAACAGAAGAAGAAAAGCAAATGCATTGAAAAGTCCATAACATCAGGGAGTTTACAGGTTGACAAACAATCACCTCATGAACTGCGTGTGTCCGGCGGCTGGTTTTGGCGAGCTTAGCGCCCTCATGTGTTCGGTTCTGTAGCTGAGCTGGACACAGGTGGACAGCTTACTGGACAGGAAGCGCAGCGGGTAAAGACTGAAGATCCTAAAAATAAAATGTAAATAAAGAAAATATTGTTTTCTCCCTCGACATTTGTGTACGTCAGCGTTCCTGTGCAGGTTTTAGTGTCCTGTGGTCGTAATCATGGATTTATTTATCTCAGCACCAACAGAGTTTTGAACCTGACAACAGTTAAATTCCCAAAGTAAAAGTTTGAACTTATAATACTGAACACTTGCATTACATATATGAAATTGGACACCTCAACATTGATGTTGTTTTGCTTTTGGCCATCAAATACAACTTCCAGTCCAAATGTCCCCTACTGTGTCGCCATGGACAAGTCCAATGATATTCTATATCCTCCAAAAAGGTTTCTCTGATAAAAAGAATAGTGAGCAGCTGTTTTGAACAACAAAGATTTAAAGATTGTTTTCCAGCAGGCACCACTTGGCTCGGTGCTGAGAGGCACAGACACGTTAGAGGAAGTTGGAAAATACTGACAGGAAGACAAACACATTTAGCATTTGTTGAAAATAAGAGAAATACAGAATATGAGCAGCCTTATGCATTAAGTTTTCTTCCTTCTTACCGCATGTTACAGATCCAGGTCCATATGGAGAGCAGCCAGCCGATGAGCAGGCAGAGCGGTACGGAGGCCTGTTTGAGCAGCTCCACGATGATGCTGGCCTCTCGACCTTCAGACTGCCAGTGTGTCGACTTCAGCGGCCCGTCGTCGTACTTGTCAAGGAAGAACAGAGGCTGGCTGTGGGCCACAGTGTGGAACATCTGGACCAGAGGAGAGGAGGGGCGTGTTAGAGATACACATGACTAGCCGCTCACATCGCCCTGTAACCTGCGCCGTTCACACTAACACACATGCACTTTACTCTGTACATCTTCTGGCAACACATTGTTTAGGAAATTCATTCAGTAGACAAAAATAAATAAATAAATCACTTATCTTTGGAGAGTTAAGAGAAATATTTTTGATCATTCACATAAAAAAAAAAAAGGTGCAAAACAGTCAACTTAAAAGGTTTTAAATATCAAATGACTGGACATGAGAACATATGTACAATAGAAATATAATAATGTGAGTAAAATGATACTTTTCTTTCACTCAAGGGTTTTTGCTGCAGCATGGCAGAAAGACATTCTGTTATATCAGCCTGAACTTCATGTTACTTACATGATGAAAAAAAAAGATAAACTGGAATTAATTAAATGAGAAGCGGCACTGATTTTCACCTCTGTCTCGTACCTGTCTGAGCTCAGATGGTGGATCAGTTTTGGGGTCGGGAACTCCGTTCTCAATGGGGTGAAGCTGCGACAACATCACCTTCCTCTGCTCATAGTGGACGAAGATCACCTCCTGCTCCTCTTCTTCATCACCTGCAGCCTCTCCATCAGCTTCCTCAACCTTCTCCTTCTTTGTCTTCTTAGCGTCCTGCTGAGCTGCTCCTCCATCTAGCAACGACAAAAGACACATTCATAATCAGCTCCTGAAAGCTTTCTTTTTTCAAAACCGTGAACAGAAAGTCCTCCTGAGGATTATTACATATTCACCACAGATAATAAACTGAGAATTACTAAATGAAATAAAGGACATGGATGGAAACTGGGCTTTTGTCTCATTGGCTATAATTTTAAAATCCAACCAAAAAAAACGATCCATATGCAGAAACATCCAGTCCTACTGTACAACCCCAGTGAATATCAGTCTGAGGGTCTTACTCTGATCCCGGTTGAGGACCTGGCAGGTGAAGCCTGTCTTGCCAATCTCACGGTTGATCTGCAGCCAGTGTTTCTGGGGGAAGATGGTGCTGAGGTCTCTGAGGAAGCTCTCCATGCCCTCCTGACCGTCTTTGGGTAAACTCCACGATCCCAGCACTGACAGCTCCACCCCACTGTGGGCCTGCATCTGGGAGAAAAAGATGGAGGAAGGCAGTGAGGGGGCGGAGAGACTGATCAAGACCTTCAGCTTTGTTTGGATTAGCGGAAAGGGTTAAAAATCAGGTTTTATTGTGATATTTAAATATTATGTTGTGTAATCCACCTTCTGGGGTTTTCAGATATCACCAGTTATTATCTACTGGAAAATCAGATGCTCGGTTCAAGAACATGAGAGGCACAACTGGGGATAAATTAAATTCAGACCTGAGGGGACACAGCGCTGCACTGACCTGCTGGACATACTGTTTGACTTGTCCGGGGATAAACGGGTAGTGGATGACCGCCAACACCACGGCAGAGTCGTGGCCGGAGATCCAGCGGCCCACCAGCAGCCCGCTGTCCGCCCGGTTACAGCACTGCGGGAAGAAGATCTTCAGCACCATGACTGCAGCTCCGTGTTCAGCCTCCAGCAGCTCTGACGACCTGAGAAAGAGAGAAAACAACCAGGTCAGGTCTCAGTGTAGTTTTTAACAAACAAACAGGAGGAAATTGCTCATTTGTTGGGGACTATTTTCAGCGGAGGATGAATCCACATGCGGGGCTCTAATGAGTGTTTGGGGCAGCAGGACGGTGTTTGTGGGACTGAGTCAGAATAAACTACAGTGTGTGTGTTCATGCCGATAAAGGAACATGTGACCCAGTGCAACAGTGAGGAGCTCTGATGCGTTTTAATAGTTTCTGGACAACAATGGAGCTCCATGGCTCAGAGGAAGAAGAGATATCAGGCTGTGAGACACACAGGACTTGTTAGGAGATACATTCAGTGTTGCTTTGGGACCTTTTATGAGATTTCTTGACAATAAAACAATATAGAATATCACCAGACTTGTGCAATGGAACATAAGACAACTGCCTTTAGAAGATAAACTGCATGACATGGTGGTTTAACTTTGTGCAGAACAACAAATAGTGGAAAAAAAAAGAAAAAGATTTAGGTTGAAATATTTTATGTAAAGTGAAGGTTATTAGAATTAAAAGCTGTAACAAGAAACTGGTGTGACGCTGAGCCTCCAGGAAAAGAGCAATGGCTTCATATTGTTCAGTAAATGCACTCAATGTAAAGAAAACCCCCCCTATCTTTACAGAGTTAAAGGATTATTCACATGAGACAAGAAGAAGTTAAGAAAACTGAAGATTCTCAGTCGTCCAGGTCATAGTTATCCAACGAAGGTCAAAATGAAGGGCAACTGGACTTGGTTGAAGATACTAGAGACGTTTCGTCCCTCATCAAAAGGACTTCTTCAGTTCTGACGGACTGGCAGGGAAACTTTAACTTAAACCTCAGTGGGCTCGTTTGCCAGGATCGTCGATACTTCGTTCGTTAGTGTTCCTGGTTGCTGTGACGACAGTCGTTACAGTCGTTGAGACTACCTGTGGCCAAGACTGAACGACCATCGTTGGTATCTTCACCTGAGGCCAAGACTGAACGACCATCGTTGGTATCTTCACCTGAGGCCAATAGGTTACGTTTGTTGAGTTTCCTGGGAAGTGATGAAAGGACAGCATTGTAAGTGGGGGATAAGTGGTGGCGTAGACCCCCTCCCCTGTTCAATGACGGCTTCTCAACCCTGGTGTAGATGCTTCCTTGACACCTCTTTCAAACCATCCATCTTCTCTGTCTAAAATGTGCACCTGGTGGTCCTCAAACGAGTGTCCTCTGTCCTGCAGATGTAAGTAGACTGCAGAGTCTTGACCTGAGGAGTTGGCCCTTCAGTGTTGAGCCATGCGTTTGTACATACGCACGCCTCTGGAGCAACTGGGGGTTAAGTGTCTTGCCCGGGGACACATTGGTGTCTCACAGTGGATTCAAACCCAGGTCTCTCACACCAAAGGCGTGTATGTTATCCTGATTGTTTTCACTGTTAAATAATGATTGTCTAGTGGGCGGCTGCGGCTCAGCAGGTAGAGCGGGTTGCTCGTTAATCGTAAGGTCGGTAGTTCAATCCTCCGGGCTGCATGTCAAAGTGTCCTTGAGCGAGATACTGAAGCCTGAATTGCCCCTGTCGGCTGTTCCGCCAGTGTATGAATGTGTATGAATGTGTGTGAATGGTGAATGCAGATGTAGTGTAAAAGCACTTTGAGTGGTCAAAAAGACTAGAAAGGCGCTCTACAAATACGGAGCATTTACATTAATCTGTCTATTATTTTCTTGATCAATTAATTAGTTGTCTGGACGATAACATGTCAGATGACATCCGCACATCGCACCTTTTTGCAGTAGCTTTTAACCTTCGTTAAACCAGGTTTCTGATGTTTAAAAGTGTTGTTGTTTTGTTTCCCTGTGAGTGACTTTGGTTGTAGTAATTTTTACACTTGTTATTTATGTATTTGACATCGACCCTGTTCAGCACTTTGATCAACTGTTGTTGTTTTTAAATGTGCTATAGAAATAAAATTGACATCTTCAAATGTCTTGTTTTGTGCACATCCCAAAAGGTATTCAGTTTACAGTCATAGAGGAGGAAAGAAACCAGGAAAAATTCCCATCTAAGAAGCTGAAATCAGAGAATTTTGACTTCTTTTCTTTAAAGAAATGACTCAAATTGAAAAATGGTTGGCAATTAATCTAATATGTTGACCACTAATCGCCAAAAACGTCACATTTTATGTCCTTATTTCTTTCAGATTTAAAGGCTGCTTTTTGCTCCTGAGTGAAAGTGGAAGAAACCAGACGGTTAATTGTGGTTTCAAACTTTTCTTTACAAACATTCAAAACGATTATGATAAAATACATTTTTATTCCCTTTTCCTCGGAGTCAAATGAATTAGATCAAACATTTATGGAACATTTATTGAACACCAGCCCTAGTTGCAGCTCTAACAGATTATACCCGATATATTCGGGAATCAAATATCTTTATTATTAATGAGAAATAATTCTGTTAGTATTTTGACAGATGAGCGCGACGGCAGGAAAAACATTAAACTAGCTGATTTCTGAATGGAGTTTGGTGGAGGGGGGGGACAGAACACGTATCGGAACTGGACGGTTGGCCTCGTTTCATGTCCTTCACATATTGAGTTTGGAGCCTGTTATTCAGCCCGAAGCAAGATTTACATTGATTTCAGGGACAAATAGCAAGCAAGAAAGAGCAGGAAATTAGGCTAGCTGTAGTGTTAGCAGCCGAAAAACAAATGTGAGGAATCACCGAGAGAATAAGACATATTTACTTAATATATATAATTTCTGCTCCAAGTTCGCCACAGATCTTCAACTACAACAAGTGTTTAAAATCAAACTTAATTATCTGATTAATTCAACTTCAAACGGCTGAGAGGTTTAACTGTATAACTGCAGTATAAATACAGGATGTCTGCGTAGACAAATACAATATTTACCTTCTTTAAAACCGACGCAAGGTTTCACCTTTCATTTGTAACGTCGAGTGGAGTTTAGCTAAGTTGAGACCGGCGCCATCTTCTTTGTTGACAGCCCATCGCGGTTAATGCTCCGGTGAGAAACACACGTTCCTGTCTGTGTTCCTTTTATCAGCGGTCGAGTTGTATTTACATTTTTACGATTCAACATGGGAACATTCAGTTGGAAAACCGATTGTAACAAGACGAAAAGTGTTCAATTGAATGTAATATTTTTGTCGACTCCATCAAATGTGTTTCTGGTTTCTTCAGTTTGGTCACTTTATGAGGATTTACCGGAAGTTTTATTCGTATGTTTTCAAGTGTGGCTTGACAGAGGTCTGACCATATTTAACAGCTTAGTGATCTCTAGCTATTAAAACTGTCGCATTAACGATATTATTCTGCGATATTATCTATATCACATTAATAATGAGTAAGAAAAATGATGCTAGTGATAATAACACTGTGTCAATCCCACCGGTATCAAGACAGAAACAATAAGGCACGAAGACGTCCGGTGGAATCTTTCAAAATAAAACGTTCAAGCCCTTCAAGATAAAGATAGTTATATTAAGTCCGGTAAAAAGGTCTAGTAAATAAAAATAAATAAATAAAGGCAAAGTTAACTAGCAACGCAAGTGTGTAAATGGAAATGAACAAAACTTCCAAATAGGATTTTGGAAAAATGCTTTTTTTAAAAATGTGAACTAAAAATGTACCTTTGCGAAGTTTTTTTTGTTAAAGGAAGATTTCATATGGTGGTGTTGTACTGGACTGTGTTTAGAGTTACTGTTTGTGGACCACACTTTCTGGCCTTCATTAATGTATTTCTTTCCCTCGTCATTATAGTAATTTCATCTTCATTGTAAAGTATGCATATTATTTATTTAATGTTTATGTTTGACAACACTGTAGAAAACAGATCTGAATGCCTGGTGAGCACAACTCTAAAAATGATCACTTTTGTTCTTTTCTTGTTTTTCTAATGAAAGTCAACAACATAAAACTGATTTAACAGTTTTTATTTAGTCTTTATTGTAATTAATATCATTACTAAGCCCATTCTGGGTTCCTAGTTCATAACGTTTCAACTGTTATTGGTGCAATAAGAAGAACTCTACTCATCAAAAATATTATATACAGATGTAGTTCCTACCAGTAAATGCCTCGTGTGTGTGCTGCTGCTGTCAGAGTTGTTGGTGAATGAGGAGTTGGCCAACTGTAAAGAGATTTATCTCCTCCTGCAGTGACACAGCAAGAAAAGAGCGGGACGAAAACCTCCAACAGACTTTAAAAAGGATCAGCATAAAACGCTTTAAGGTTAAAATGTCTTGGCACAAATAGTGCTGGGTGATAAAAAGGGGGTTTGTATCTTTTTGTGTTAAAATAAAACATGATTAAAAGATTGTAATTTTCCCTCCTTCCACATGAAAAGTTACTCTCCTTTTAAAGTCTTCACAGTGGCTGCCGGTGTATCTTAAAATTAATTTTAAAATCAAAATCACACTCATTAGTTCAAGTGAAATGCTTTTTAAATGCCTTTAGTGAACAGAAAGCAGCCACACCTCCGTGTTAAATGTGTTTCTTACTAATATTTACTACCTTATGTAGCTATATATATTTCTTATTTCTGTATTTTCTATTTGTATATTCTATACAATTTGTCCGTCTATATTTTATTTTACATAATTTACTTTATTTATTATAAGAAATAAAGTAAATTATTTTTTTTGTTTTATTATTTTTTTTATGGGTTTCAGTTCTGCTTGGACTATTTCCTGCATTTTTTAAACAGAGCAGATTTTTTTAAAACAGTCTATGATGGTATTAAACAATAAACTGAACTAAAAAAAGAACTACATTACCCAGTAGATCTAGCTGGAGACGATCGCGATGCCTTGTGGGTAATCGGGAAGTAAACAAAGGCACGTTGAAGATGGAGCTTTCGGAGCAGAACCGAACTTCAGCCGTGAAAAGATTAAATAAGACGGATATTTTACGGGACTTTCAGGTGTCTTTTTTCGCTATGAGACGTCTGGTTTCATTTCCCTGGACTGTGAGTATGACCGAGTGTTTCTTTTATCCCGTCTCCATTCATCACACAGAGCGAACCTCACGCCAAAGTCCATTCAAATATTTGTGTATCCGTGTTTCCTTTGCTCAGCGGAAAATGTGCTCGGTGTCGGAATGAGACACACAAATTTTCACAAATCAGAGGACTATTCTGCACAATCCGGCACACATATGATCCACCTGCAGGTCGGGATTAAAACAAGTAATCTAAGTAGTTTGGCTTCAGACAGGACTTTCTTCAGTTTGTAAAGAGACTGGAAATAACAGGAGCCACGAAGTTTGCCTTTTAAAAAGTGAAATAAAAGCGGCTTGAATGTGCGATGAAAAAGGTAGAATTGAGTTGATTTTAAAGGTTTTATATGTCACACACATACAATTTTAAATAAAATAGTAAAATGGTACAGTAAATAAATGTTTGAAGGCAGTCAGGAATATTTGTACATCTGCACAAGGTTTTTTTTTTTAAAGTAAAAATGCAGATGGGAAAGGTGGAAGTCCAAAAAGTGAGATTAAATTCATAATTCTGAGGGAACAAAAGTTACATTTCTGATTTTAAAGTACTGAATTCTAAAAACAAATTGTAATAATAATCCATTATATTAGCAAATACATCTCATTATTTCTAACTGACTGTTTCTGCTTTTTCAGTTTTTAGAAAAAGACCTTGAAAGCAACAAATCCTCAGACTTGATTTCAGACATCCTGAAACAGGTAAGCAGGTCTGCACACAAACCTTTCACGGTCTTATAATTGTAAACAATAATGTGCCTTTTCTGTTTTTGGCAGACGTGTCTTCACCCTCTGTGCCGGAAGTTTCCACCATCAGTCAGGTTCAGGAGGCTGTTCCTCTCTGAGCTCATCCGACGGGTTGGTGGTCTGTCACTTAACAACATTCATACAAACGTTATTTCCTAATTATGTCTTTAATGTTAAGTGAAAATGCACATTATATAGCTAAAAGGGAAACTCAAAGATCATTTACTTTTCAGTCTAATCAGAGAAAATCAGCAAATTCCTGATTTCAAGGAAACTTTCTGGGGAATTATGAAGAATTTACTGACCTTTATGTGCTTGTAGCCTAAGTTTTGCAGAGATCACTCAGGACTGGCCCAAGACTTCAATGTTTGTTACACTAAAAGGTTCTGGGAGACGCTGAGCTTATCGTTAACATAAAATAAAGTTTAATATTTGGCCTGACTCCAGCTCCCTACTTATCTCATCCTCTTCTCAGTCTCTTCCGTCTCTGCAGGAACGCAAATAAGCTTATTTCCATTTGCATATTGGGAATTAAGCTTATTTAAACACTAACGCTAGCATTAGAAAAAGTCTGGAAATCAGCAGAGTTAGTTGGATTCATCCTCGGGGGAACCGTGAACGTCTGTAAAAAAAAAACTTTATGGCAGTCCATCTGATAGTTGTTGGGACATTTCCATGTGGACTGAAGTGTTGGACCGACATCACAACAGAAAGAAACCTCTCGTGTTGTCTCTCCCCAGCTAGAGGCTGTAGACGGTGACCCTCTGGACGAGCTGTACGATGCTCTGGCTGAGGTGGTGGGAGCGGAAGAGACGGCCGAGTGCTACAAGAGCTACATACTGGTACCTGCAGACACTCACCCTTCACTGAGTGACAGCTCGGGCCCTCATGACGATGATGTATTTCTTCCATTGAGGATGACCTTCATCTGCGGTTCTTAAAGCTGTAACACAATACTGAGCTTTTCTGTTCATATTCTAACATAAATCATTATGAAATTACATCGTGTAAAATTGTATATAACAAATGTTGGTAGAATTCATTCAGCTCTCCAGCCATCTTTCTCCTCTTCCCCCGCGCTCATCATCGACCTTGAAGATGAAAAAGGATCATTTCTTCAGGGCGTCCACAAAAAGTTTTTCATTTTGCCAGCGATAGGCTCAGACTGTTACACCAGGTGACTGACAACATCATGGAAAGGATCCCAACGAGGGACTCCTGATGACACCCTGTTTAAAAAAAAGTCTCGCTCAAGGACAGTTCTCGCTCTGAAATCTTGTGAGTGGCGAGTTGCTGCAGGAAGACGCCGGTGGAAACGAGGGAGAGGAGTTTGTTGTGTACATAGAGGAGCTGCTAGCAAAACTTTAACATTACTCTGACACAACAAACTCAACATGTCCACCATCGTCTCCCTGCAACGACTCACCTTGACTTAATAAACTGTTTGTATCCTGGATCTGGTCAGGGATCCAAAGTGTCAGAGAGATCATTTAAAAACAAAAGAAGCACACGAGAGCTGACTGCCATTCCGCCTGACGTTAACATTTTGGTGTTGGTTTTTGTCCTGCAGCCCAGTGGTGATGCTGTCAGTCTGCTGGAGAACGTAGCTCTGATCTCAGAGGGGACCACCGGCCTGGTGACCTGGGAGGCCGCTCTCTACCTGGCAGAGTGGGCCCTGGATCACCGGCAGGCCTTCGCTGGCAGGTATCCAACCCCTAAAATGTCCACAAGTACATCATCACCTATTTGTTGTGACTGCAGCCTGTAACTGTAACCCTTTTGCTACATAAATCATATCCATTCCACTGACTACCACTCCGTATTTTTCCGCTGGTCAACCACGACTCCCAGTTTGAGAACCGCTGCTCTAATGGGACCTCCCATACTTCCATCTCTGAGGTCCTTTTCACTCCTCCTGTCTGCAGGACGGTTCTGGAGCTGGGCAGCGGCGTGGGGTTGACCGGTATCACCATCTGTCGCTCCTGCAGCCCGCGCCGATTCGTCTTCAGCGACTGCCACTTCAGCGTCCTGCAGAAACTGAGGAACAACGTCCAGCTGCACGGTCTGACCGAGCAGACGTCTCCTGCAGTCAGCGTGGAGGAGATGGACTGGACGGCGGCGACAGAGGAACAGTTAAAACAGATCGGAGCTGACGCTGTCATCGCTGCAGGTCAGACTTCGGTCTTATCATCACCAGCCCTTCTAAATGATCAGCTCGTTTGATCATCGTGCTTGTCCGTGTTCAGAACGAGAGGTGCTGCTGGCCTGATTGTTATGCATATTAAAATATCACCTTTTACTATAATTACTCATGATTTTTAAAGACCTAAACTCCGGGTCTGATAAGTGAAGCCAGTGCTGAAGAGCCTTAAACCTGCATTCTCTCTAACGGCCAGCAGGGGGCGACTCCGCTGATTGCAAAAAGAAGTGATTGTATAGAAGTCTATGAGAAAATGTTTCTACTTCTCAGCTGATTTATTACCTCAGTAAACACTTTCCTAATTAGTTTATGGTCCCAGTCGCTAGTTTCATGTCTTCTTCAACACAGCAGGATGTTCATTTAGTGAATTATGGTCCCATTTAGAGGAAAGTAGACGAGAAAGCAGGGTTGAGATTGACGAGTCACTCCCATGGCGACCTGTCAATCAGGATAGAGGTGACTCGTATCCGCTGCTTAAATTAAATTTAACCAGAGCCGCTGAAAAAGCTCATTAGGGGTCGGCTGTTCATTTTTCCGGTACGTAAAGTCTTTTTTTCGCTAGCCAAAATTAGCATCCCTGTTAAAATCACAATTAACTTGAATTACGGATGCACCTTGCTAACCAAGCTGGCTAGTGCCACCCTTTTTGTCCGGTTCTGGGTTGCAGATTTATAAAATTGTAAAATGCCAAACTCGAGGCTCCAAAACAGCAACCAAAAAACAGCGTGTGACGTCACGGTGCCTAGGTCCACTTCTTTTATACAGTAGTTGGTTCAATACAACAATCGACAAGCAACTAGATAGATTTTTCTGACCACTTGGGGGCAGCAGAAACAACACTGACATATTAGGTGCGTTTGACTTCATGCGGCGCTGCACAGCGCTGACTTAACGTGATGCCTGCTGGATTTAAAATAAGGCATGCTGGTTAGAAATTGTGTCCGACTTTCGCCGGCGCTGCAAAACGTCACCATGTCACATGACATTGAAACATCGCGGGAGCAAGGCGGCTGCAGTTGATTTTCTTCGGCTGCACCAAGTTGGAACCACACTATTGCCTGATCTCGCGGGACTTTTCTTTGCAAATGCCGCGAGATCACTCATTGATCTCAGCTCACAGTAAACTGATGCAGGTAAAATGTGTCTGACTTGACGGCGCCGTTTTTATTTCCCGCCCCTGCAGTCACCTGCAGCTCACGTTAGACTATCAAGTCAGCGAAAGTGTGTCTGCTGTGTGGTGCTGGGCAGGTCGTGAAAAAGTGGGTTTATCAGCGAAAAGAACATGTAGGACTCATTATCGATTAATCTTCTTATTCTTTACATGAAGAAAATCCCACATTTTCAGTCAAAGGACTACATAAAAAAAACGTCCAGCAGCAAATTTGATAAACTTTAACTAGTAGATGTTTGACATTCTCTCTTAAAAACAACCTTTTAAAGAATATTAATGACCAAAATATAAATCTAATACTATTAATTGACTTATTAATTAATCAACAGATTGTTTCAGCTCAAATAAAACCCGCTGAGAGTTGAATTTAAAGTCAGGTGACCTCCACAGATCTTTACACACTGTGTGTCCCTTCACTGTGTTGCAGATGTGGTTTATGACCCCGACGTTGTAGGAAGTCTGGTGAGTCTGCTGTCCAAGATCCTGAGGTGTCCGTCCTCTGGAGTCCCCCCTGAGGTCTTCATCTGCTCCACCATAAGAAACCAGGAGACTTACGGTGGCTTTAAGCAGCAGCTTGGTAAGAGACCACTGAGTTTTGTTCTCTCTGCACAAAGAAGCGAGTGTCGGTCTTGACTTTTATTCACGTCTCCTCCCAGACCCGTTAAATTGACTCCCATCCTGTGAGAATACCGAGGAAATGTCAGCCTCTAGGGTCACAGCTGGATACTGAAGCGGTGGGAATTTGAGGTGTTTAACAACTAAAATAAAAACGTTATTATGGTGGGTATTTTAAAGGCTGAATCAAAGACTTTTTAGGCCAAAGAAATAATTAAAGATTCAATAATTCTCCACCAGTGGCAGAGAAATTATGCTCATGTTGGACTTTTCTGCAGGTCACGATTGAGCCCAATGCAAGAGTTTGCGTCCAGGTCACATATCCGCAATGAACTGCCAACCCCAGCCATAACCACCATCTTTCCCTGATTTTAACCATGCCGTCCGTGGTACTCAAAGTATTTTTAAAAACGTTAGCATTGGACGTAAAACCACCAGTTCAGTAGAACAAAAACACGTGAATGAGTTACATTTAGGGTGAGATCTTCCTCATTGTGAGGAGGATATGATGCATTCATACGTCTTACTACGGTGTGAATGCAAAATCTTTTATAATTGTGTTTTACTGAACTGCCAGGTTGGCCAAATACAAGCTTCGACGTTCTCTTCAATTCTAATCTAAATATAATAAATCCAGCTTGACATATATTGCGAATATGCATGTTAATTATTGAAACATGTTTCTGTTTAATTGTTTTCTTGCGTCACTGAATTGATTGTAAATGTTTTGTTTTGACAGAAAAGGCAGGAATCAGCCATCATGTGATCCCAGGACCCGTCAGCCACGTGCTTCCTTACAACAGAGTCTCTGACATAGAAATGATTAAACTGTACAGGTGACACAGCTGTAGCACAATAAAGATTTTATTTACAAATGTACATCATGTCAAAGTCTGTTTTTCTTTTTATACATTCAAGTTCTCTGAAGTAGGAATGAAGAGTTCTTTTCAGCGGGTGGAGAGTTTAGACAAGCCTGCATTTTATTTTCTTAAAGTTTAACGGGCTCAGATGAGATGCGACGCTTCATGTTTCACTCTCATCATCCCGTCTGCGCTGATCCTCTATTTTCATGCTACATGACATTAAAACAAAAGACTTTCCTTCATCCCAAACTATTCTTGCATGACTTCTCTGCCATTCATCCCCATCTGTGTCGTTTGTTTTCAACACCGCACTGAAAATCATCCAGGCAAAAGTTGGCGTAAAACTTTAGATGCATTGTGGTCTGAAAATATTGGTATAGGCCATTAAAAAGCCCACTCTGGTCTCTCAGGGAGCAGTGAGCAGAGGCAGCACGTTCTGGTTCCAGTTATCGTCCCAGCGCTGCCCTCTGCTGGTGCGGAGGTTCCTCCTGAACACTGCCAGTCTGCCCTCCGAGCTGGGAAACCCTGACAGGAGAGACTGAAAACACAAACCAACATCAGTCATTTAAAAAGAAGCTTAAAACAGTGGAGGAACATGTGGTGTATGACCCTGACTCGGCAACACGTAGCACAACATTTATTTATGGAGCGGAAAGGGTTGGGCCTTGAACAGTTACTGCCTTTTTTATACGGCTGATAATTGGGCAACGGCTCTGACGCACCCACCAAACGAGAGAAAACATACCTCAAAGCCTGTTGAGCACCCTTGCAAACGGTTTCAAGGAAAACGGCGCAAAATGTTTTGAAATTGAACCTGCTCGAGATCTCTGAAAATTTTAAGGCTTAAAATTAGGAGTAGAGCATTTTACAGCAGGAGCGAACTGAAACCTAAAAAAAACGAGCCAAAGCGAGGCCCGCTGAACGTCTTGTTTTAGCTGACTTCCTGGGACCGTATTCATAAAAAATCTTAATGCATAGAGTAGCTCCTAGTGAAAAAATTCTAAGAAATGTGGGTGTTTACCCATAAAATTAAAGAAAAAAGTAATTCAGAAAGCATCTTAACCCTTTAAAGAGGTTTTAAGCCAATCAAATACCTTGTAGGAAATTAACAGCATGGTAAAAACAGGATTTATATACACCTATATAATGTGTGTGTGTGTGTGTGAACGGTCAAATAGGGAAATATTACGCATGTAATTTCCAAAGTGAAGGACAACCTTCTTGGACAACCAATCACAGTCTTCAAAAGATTGTGTCATACAAAGCAACGGGGTCAAACTCGCCTCCTGACTAAGATGAAAGTTTTTGTCTTTTCCTTGCTCAGAGTTGCCCTCAGATCAGTCCCTGGTCGCTCTTAAGCTAAGACTCTTACGTAAAAGAGTTTAAGCCAAATTAAGAGTTTTCTGAGAGGATGCTTAGAATCTTTATGAATACGGGCCCAGGATTTTAACTGCGTTGAGTTAAATTCTGTGCAGTCTGAGGCGCTGAATCTTTGTTTCTTGGTGTTCAGAGTTAAAATATAATAAATGCATTATATCGTCCCTCAACTTGAGCCATCGGCAGCGTTTTCATGCGCAGACGCACGTGCTCATGCATCTGCACTTTGGATACATGCACAGGTTTTCCTCTCACCTTGAGCTGCTCGGCGAGCTCCTGCGAGTCTCTGAAGATCAGCCCGTTCTCCTCGTGCTTCACCAGCTCGCTCAAGCTGGGGGAAAAAGGCGGTCGCGTTAAGAGAGTCTGAGTCTCAAGTGGGAGTAATTTAACAGCCATTCTGAGTTCCTTTGACGAAATGTACAATCTTAATCAAACAGATGGTGTTCAGCTCACCAGTTGAAGTGGATGGCGCAGACGGGCAGGCAGCAGCCGAACATGTCCACCACCTTCATGGGCAGGTCCAGACCGCTGGACGACTTGTGGAGACAAACGCCAAAAGGTCCGCTGAGCCTGAAACACACACCGAGGTGTACGGCGGGCTGAGTCCTCTTTTTAATGACACTTTGAGGTGAAAATAAAACCTATTTTTAAATCAGTACATGTAAACAACTTGTAGCTCCCTCCGCCCCCCCCCACCAGCTTTAAAATACATTTTAATAATTATGCGTTTTATTTTGCATAATTCAGTACATTTAGGTTATCAAAACTTTAAGCACTTATTTTTTCTATTTATGGTATTTTAATGTTTTACTCGTATGCTTTTCTGTCCGTCCTGCACTCTGAGATCCTCAAGGCAAGTTCCTACAGTAACAACAGTTGGTTATGCAGATGAAGATAACTCCACAAAGTGTTTTCTCTAACTTTAATATTTGTTAATTGTCAAATCAGGAGGTCTGCAGCGAGTCTTTTCTGTTCTCTCACAGACCGCTGATGGATTTTAAAACCTGTTTTGCTGATCTCTGTGGCTGCAACTTACAGAAAAAAAAAAAAGTTTAAAATTCGCTAAAAGTGACATATCCAGAGTTCTTTTATTGTCCAAAAGCTTGAACCAGAGAATGAAAAAAAAACAACAATTAATTAATTGTCAAGTATTTTTCATTTTCTGTCGATTGACTAATCAATTACTCAACTGATTGCTTCAGCTCTAGAATCATTTACATTTATTCATGTAGCTGACGCTTTTATCCAAAGCAACTTACAATTGCTATACATGTCAGAGGTCGCACGCCTCTGGAGCAACGAGGGTTAAGTGTCTTGCTCAGGGACACAATGGTGGATTGAACCCGGGTCTCTCACACCAAAAGGCATGCGTCTTACCCACTGCGCCATCGCCACAATCAGTGTCATTATTTTTTGTAGAGACTCACTGCCTGTTTCATAATGTTCGATTGTGCACTTTCTCATTGAATGAGACCATTTAATTCCAGTTTGCTGTATCTGAAGCGTTTTGCAGCATATTCATAATTGAAAATTGAAAATATAGGAGACTGTTGATCTGATGTTGATTGTGATTCTACGACCTTCCACCGAGGGAATAAACATTTCTATTTAACAATCTGACGAGAAGAATCTTCTGACTCATTCGTTGTGTTTTATTTTATTTGTGCATAAGAGAGGTGAGTGATACGTGTATTTATTTAACTCCATATCACAAATCTCAGTTTGCCTCAAGGGGCTTAATAACGTCAACTAGACGTGCATTTAATCTCTGTGTATTCAGCCTTTTACGTTAATCTGACGGCTTTCAGTTCAGACTTGAGTTGTGTTTTACACAAATGTCAGACTCGGGCTCTTATTCGATCATGAGACCAACCTGTTAGAAAGTAAATCGCATTTATGTAAAAAGGAGTTCCAGGTCTGACAGAGGCTGAACCCAACCACACACACACACGGTGAGTTCGGTACGTAATGTTTATCAGTCTTACCCAGTAAGACGGGATAGTCTTCTGCCTCCAACCAGGGAGTGCAGATGGTCACGTGGTCTAAGTGCAGGGAGTCGATCAGCTTCCTGTAGTGTTCCTTCTGAGGACCTTTACCTGCGCAGACACACACAATCGAATGAAAACCTGCTTGAAATCAGACATTCTGACAGAACAGTGAGGCAGCAGGGGATTACCTGTGATCACACAGACTAAAGACGGCAGGGAGGCTCCTCCTTTAACGAAACCTTCGTACTCTGTTTGAACAAACAGGCGTGAGGTGAGAACACGGCATCATGTTTTATTCTCTGTGTGTAAGTTTAAACCCTCTCCTACCTTCAAGAGCCCTCAGTAAGATGGAGAAATCTTCATCCTCTGGGGAGAGAAAGAAGGTTAATGAGTGCTGGACTATGTGAAGGAGACACTGAGCTGATTCAGTGTCTGAGGGTTGGGTTGGATCGTTTTTCTACAAATAAAAACCATAACTTAAAATACTCAATAATCACATGCAAATTATACCCAAGGAGGCTGTATTATAGTCAGAGAATGTGCACAACAAACACTGGTCCAAATGATTTAAGATAAGAATTAAAATAACCAAAAATATTAATTGTATTTTTCCAGAGGGTACTGGAAGACTGACTGGAAGTGACATCATCGTGGCTCATCGCAGATTTCTAATGATTAGCTCGCTCATTAGCAATAACCGTGTAAATAAGCAACCAACGATTTTCACCAACAATTTCTGTGACTTTGTGCAAAGCAGCACTTTTGTTTTTTTAATCGCGGAAGATTAAGGCTGCAACCAACAGTTACTTTTTATCAATGAATGAGAAAAATGTAATAGAAAATAGAGAAGAATTGCAGTTAAAAGTTTCACAGGTCATCTATTTCAGTAGCTCGTTTTGGTCACCCACAGTGCAAAACCCAAAAATGTTCAGCTCATCAACCTATAACGCCTCAAATCCTGAAGAAATAAAAAAAATAAAATCAATAAAGTAACGTTGACGATCAAAATAGTTGTAATATAATTTTTTGTAGATGTAATCAATTAATTTTTTCAGTTCTAGTAAAGACTAAACTCTCCGACCCACCACAGCATCACTTTTCGGCAAATCATTGCGAAGCCAGGAGACAAATGTCCCTCATTTGCATAGAGGTCATGTTGACGCCTCCCTTTTTTTTTTTCGTATTTCTCGACTCGTTGTCTGGAAATCCCACAATGCCTTGTAAATCTATTAATTTGTGCCCCCTAGAAAATGAATAGGAGTGAACTTCGCTTTGCGCCTTAGTTTTTTTAAATTTATTTTTTAATACTTATTCACAAAATTCCTCCTGCGTACGTTGCTATTTATCTATTTTTCAAAGCTCTTTATAAACCTCTGTTGTCTTTACCGAACATCTACGCCACATGTCTCCGGTTAAAGTTAATTAGTAAAGTAAAAGTTAATCCACACACGTATCAGTGGCCGTGGTATAATTTATTATAATCTACAGTTAAAATAAATAAAATAATCTTATATTATAGAAGGAAAAACAAATACCAAACTGAAAATGTGTGTCCACTTCATCTGAATGAAAACACATAATGTCACCGTTTCTCTTCCCCTCACCTGTCCAGCTGGTGCTGCTCAGCAGCAGCGCCGGTCGCTCCGCCCTCAAGGTCACTGTGTCATCAGTGAGGTCACAAACCGAGAAGACGGTCCTCTCCACGTTCACGTCCTCAGACCTGCGAAACGCACAACCGCTCAGTTAAAGAAGTGTGCGTGTTCTTCAGGGTAAGCCAGTGTTGTGTTACAGCTAACCTCTGCACGCATGTTCCTGTTTTTACAATTGTTCTGTGGCTTTAAACAACACAGCTGAAGATACACAACGACAGAACATGTCTACGTATTCTTCTCTGCTCAAAACTGAGGTTTGGTAACCGATGTGAAAAAGGTTCTGCAGGGTTCCTCACCCTTTGCTCTGGAACTGAGGATGCGTGTTGGCCAGTCTCATGAACAGCTGGTGCTGCAGCTTCAGTGGCGTTTCTCTGAAGATGGAGGCTGGTCTGTCGTACAGAGTCGTCGCCCTGCAAACGTCAAACAGTCAGAAAGTGTTATTGTTTTTTTTTTTTGTTTTTTTTTTTTACTTCCACTCCTGACGTTCTCTCTAACATGATGAGGGCAAAACAGATCGTACCTGATGCCCCAGTTTTTCTGCAAGTCGTCCTTCATTGCGTTGGTAACACAAAGGTTGTGAGTGGCCAGCGGCCCGAAGAAGTGTTCATACCTGGAAGAAGACGGGAACCAAAAAATATACATTTCAATTAAAGTCTTTTGTGATCCTTTCTGCCCCAATTATAAACCCAGAAATTATACAGCTTTTAAAGTTCAAGAAGTTTCCGATCCAACATTTACCCCAAGAAAATCAGATTTGTCATATCAACGAAATATTTTATAAAACAGCCACACAGATGAAGTTGGCTTCGGTGCTCGTCAGTGTTTCATCGATTATTAATCTGTCTACAAAAGGTAAGTACTGACCACTTTGCCAGTTGGACCACCGGGTGCCTCGGGCCGTGGCTCAGGGCCATGACGGTGTAGCCGTAGTTGTGCCAGTCGATGACGAATCTGCTGCCTCGCAGGACGCACACGAGCCAAGCTACCGCGATGCTGGGCAAGCCCGGGGGATTCTGGGATACAAACACAATCATTTACATCAGCCTGGAGGGTAGGACAGAGAAAGTGTTTTATTCACTTTATAAAAACTATTTTGAAGCCTCGAGTTTGGCGGTCGGTGACTATATTTGGACGAGAAAAGTCGCCACGGTAGAGACTTTTCAAATCACAAGTTAGCCCCGCCCCTGCTTTATGGTCTATTTTCCTCTAAATAGGACCAAGACCAACATTTACTAAATGAACATCATGCTGTGTTGAAGAACGACTGGGACCGTGAACTCATTAGCGTCCAATGCAATCAGACTTGTTTTTGCAACCAGAGGAGTCGCCCCCTGCTGGCTGCCGAGCATTTCACTTCTCAGACCTGAAGTTTCTGGATTGGTTAAGGGCCCTTTAACACCTAGCTCGTTTGGTCTGGGCTTTTGAACTAGCCTCAAGTACAGTTGTTGCTGTTGGAAGTAATACCATAATAACAATTTATGCATCTGTTCATTCATTCTTGTCAAGGCCAAAGAGTAATGCGGAAGCTACCCGCCAAGTTGACAACACGTGTTTACAAACCAATCAGTGTGGAGTACAGGGAGACGCAACCCACATAGATGTCCTTTAGTGCGCTCACAGAAACTAAACCAAAAGTAACCGAATGTGTCAAAGACTCAACTTTGGTTTGGACCTAAAACTCATTACAGTAGATTCACTATTATTAAACTTAAGTTGATTTATAGTAAATGGGACAAACAACTAATACAGCATTATCCAAACTTAAAGCTGTGACCCTTTAAATTTGGATAATTTAATTTCTTATGTCACACATTAATCAACATGTCTGTAAAGGAGCCAGTGACGGGCGGGTCCATCCACCTGTAGATACAGACCTTTAATCTTGAATACCTGCATTAGAATATGAGACTGAGTCTCCGTCTTCAGCAGCACATGGAGAAGCTGCAGACACTGAAGGATCACCTTCGTCACATAAGTGAGGATCTTTGGTCCCACTGAAAAATAAACAAAGACTTTATGTAAATGACATCATCACTTTTCTGTGATTTTTAAATCAAAAAGGCATAAAACTCAGTGGTTCCAGTTACCTCGAACACCTCTCACTTCTGTGATGGGGACGATCATTATTTTCTCCTCTCTCAGCACGTCTTGATGAGGTTTGGTATCTAACATGAGAAAATATCAGAGAGATAACTTTCCTCAATAACAAATGTTCGATAAAGTACTAAATAATAGATGCAAATAAACATTTGTCAAGGCATTTCTCTTTCTTGTTGCAAGCTATTCGGAACATTTTTTAACAAATCCTGCTTTTAAAAAACGATGGGGACAAAATTAGCCAGTTCAGTAAGTGTGTGTCCCCAGTGTAAAGACACCTAATCGATAAAGTTTATCTCGACCCCGCTGACAGCAGCATCAGGTCTTGGTTTGTGGAGCAGACGGACACCCTGACACGACGGTGTGAAACTGTGCGTGTTTGTGCGGCAGTCTCACCCAAAAACCCGACAAAAGTGACGCTGAATCCGTGTTTGCTGAGGGACAAGGCGTGATACTGCATCCGAGGGCTGCGACCGATGTCCCCCAACACCAGCACACACACCCGGCGGTCAGTCCCGGCGTCCCGCCGCCGCAGCCTCCGCAGCCACAGCGACGCCAGCACGGTTACAACAGCCAGAGACACCGTCCGCCAGGTCACAGGCGAGCCCGCTGCGTAAAACACAACCAAAAGAGCCGCGATCGGCGCAAAGACGGCCAGAAACGCGGAGCCGGTGCAGCGCGGCGCCATGTTTGTTTGTTTGTGATGACGTGGCTCAGAGAGGGAGGAGGAGCTTCAGATTTAAAGGGACAGCAGACTGGGTGACGCGTTCAGGTGTGTGCAACAAGTACAACAGGTATAAAAGGGTTTCACTCACTTCTATTTGTGTTTTTCTTTATGAAGGCTGTTTTCTGCCGTCCCTCTCTGGAAACATTTATCGGGGAACAAGTTAGTTAGATCGATTTTACAGTTTATAACATTCATCATTAACAGTCAAGATTGGCCATCGGAAGTACTGGGACTTTTCCTGGTGGCCCGCTGAGTAATTAGGCCTCTTAAAACAAGACAAAATACGGCATTTGTTAGTTTTAAGTTGTATATTGGACAGACATTCACCCAGGATCCGGTGACTGCTTCTTACTCAGTTCACCCAGTGTCTGCAGTATAAGTGCGGTAAGTTCACCTCCTCACCGCTTTTAACCACCACCAGTTTAGGATACATCAGTAAATTACTGTTGTTAAAACAGTGTTGTGGGGAAATCATCATTTATTTCAATAGCTTCCATGTCATGTGATCCAAAGACATCAAACCAATGCCGAAACTGTAGAGCTACACTGTGCAAATCAGACACACCTCTTCATATTATATTTGAGTGCATATTCAAAGTTATATTAATATTTATTAATAATTTCTGGAAAATAATGCATTTTTAAAAATAGATTCCAGTTCTTGTGATTCACAGACTCCAAACCAATTGTTGTACTACATTAGGCAAATCAGACACACCTCTTCATTTTAGATTTGAGTATTTGTTTTATTTTATATTAATATTTATTAATAATTTATGGAAAATAATGCTTTTTCCCCCATAGATTCCATGTGTTTGTTGCCTGAGCTGCTAAGAAGCTGACAGCAGAACCAGGTTAGAACAGAAGGGGCTGCAGGTTTAACGCTGGGCTGTGGGTGAATGAAGATGGTAACTAGGTTACAAATAAATCCTTAATAATAAAAACAAATGAAATGCAGAACAATAAATACATCTGTATCAGTAACCTGGATTTAAAACAGTTAACAAAGACAAAAACCGGACATTCATTTAAATACTGTCACCTGCTGCTAGAAAGGCGAAACAGATATGAAAACCACATTAAATATGAATTTAATATTAAAAATATAGTGCTAACAGTAACAACTCTGCACACACAATTACCTAGGTTAAACTACCAGCTGTATTGCACCAAACAATGCGTACATTAAACGTGACTCTTGCTGTTTACATGAAGAAATGTACAATATTATACAGTGGGTATGGAAAGTATTCAGACCCCTTTAAATTTTTCACTCTTTGTTTCATTGCAGCCATTTTCCAAAAATCAAAAAGTTCATTTTATTTCTCAGTAATGTACACTCAGCACCCCATCTTGACAGAAAAAAACAGAAATGTAGAAATTTTTGCAAATTTATTAAAAAAGAAAAACTGAAATATCACATGGTCATAAGTATTCAGACCCTTTGCCGTGACACTCATATTTAACTCAGGTGCTGTCTATTTCTTCTGATCATCCTTGAGATGGTTCTACACCTTCATTTGAGTCCAGCTGTGTTTGATTATACTGATTGGACTTGATTAGGAAAGCCACACACCTGTCTATATAAGACCTTACAGCTCACAGTGCATGTCAGAGCAAATGAGAATCATGAGGTCAAAGGAACTGCCTGAAGAGCTCAGAGACAGAATTGTGGCAAGGCACAGATCTGGCCAAGGTTACAAAAAAATTTCTGCTGCACTTAAGGTTCCTAAGAGCACAGTGGCCTCCATAATCCTCAAATGGAAGACGTTTGGGACGACCAGAACCCTTCCTAGAGCTGGCCATCCGGCCAAACTGAGCTATCGGGGGAGAAGAGCCTTGGTGAGAGAGGTAAAGAAGAACCCAAAGGTCACTGTGGCTGAGCTCCAGAGATGCAGTCGGGAGATGGGAGAAAGTTGTAGTAAGTCAACCATCACTGCAGCAATCCACCAGTCGGGGCTTTATGGCAGAGTGGCCCGACGGAAGCCTCTCCTCAGTGCAAGACACATGAAAGCCCGCATGGAGTTTGCTAAAAAACACCTGAAGGACTCCAAGATGGTGATAAATAAGATCCTCTGGTCTGATGAGACCAAGATAGAACTTTTTGGCCTTAATTCTAAGCGGTATGTGTGGAGAAAACCAGGCACTGCTCATCACCTGTCCAACACAGTCTCAACAGTGAAGCATGGTGGTGGCAGCATCATGCTGTGGGGGTGTTTTTCAGCTGCAGGGACAGGACGACTGGCTGCAATCGAGGGAAAGATGAATGCGGGCAAGTACAGGGATATCCTGGACGAAAACCTCTTCCAGAGTGCTCTGGACCTCAGACTGGGCCGAAGGTTTACCTTCCAACAAGACAATGACCCTAAGCGCACCGCTAAAATAACGAAGGAGTGGCTTCACAACAACTCCGTGGCTGTTCTTGAATGGCCCAGCCAGAGCCCTGACTTAAACCCAATTGAGCATCTCTGGAGAGACCTGAAAATGGCTGTCCACCAACGTTTACCATCCAACCTGACAGAACTGGAGAGGATCTGCAAGGAGGAATGGCAGAGGATACCCAAATCCAGATGTGAAAAACTTGTTGCATCTTTCCCAAAACGACTCATGGCTGTATTAGATCAAAAGGGTGCTTCTACTAAATACTGAGCAAAGGGTCTGAATACTTATGACCATGTGATATTTCAGTTTTTCTTTTTTAATAAATTTGCAAAAATTTCTACATTTCTGTTTTTTTCTGTCAAGATGGGGTGCTGAGTGTACATTACTGAGAAATAAAATGAACTTTTTTGATTTTTGGAAAATGGCTGCAATGAAACAAAGAGTGAAAAATTTAAAGGGGTCTGAATACTTTCCATACCCACTGTATATTGCATAATAAACTAATGTTGCTAACATGTTTCTCTCGGTCCAGGTTTATTTATTGATTGATTGAATCAGCGGCAGATGCCCTGGCATCTCACGGTAGATCAGTGGTGACCTAACGTACACAAACAGCGACAGATGCCCTGGCATCGTATTTGTTAGATTGCAACCAGAAATCCCGCACAAACAACGGCAGGTGCCTGGGTGAATCTGTGGCATGTTGGTTTCACCGGAAATATCACATAAACGGCGAAAGGTGCCGTACGTGGCACCTCAGGGAAAACCTGTGGCATTTTTAGATTACCACTGGAAATCCCACATAAAACAGCGGCAGGTGGCGCCTGCCACCGGAAATACACATAAACGGCGAAAAGTGCGGCGGCATATCAGGAAAAAACTCAAGCTCTCACCGGAAATACCACTGGTAGCTGCTGATGCCACTATTTGAGCCAGCTGTCTCTCTGTTACTGAATCAAAGTCAGTCTTTTTAAACCTATACAATATTAACATGCTAGCTTGATAGTGAGTACTAACAACCGGGTTAGTTGTTAATTTCATAATGATAAAGTTAAATGTTTTCTTACCTGTGCTCGTCCTCCAGCAGAGTCGGCAAGGCGCGTTCACGTGTTTTGGGGGCGTGGCTTTGAAAGGAGCCCAGAAGGGAGGGGGGTGGGGGTGTTTCTCTGTTGGATACTTTCAAAAATACAGCAGTTTCTTTCTAGTTCCTCAAACTTACCTACCCTGCCTTTAAATCTACCTTTCTCTTGCTGTCTTTCTCCTTAATCGTCTCTCCCTGTCTCGTCTCGGAAAGATTTAGAGGTGCTGTCAAACTAAAAAGCCTTTGCAGAGTCCTGTAATTGCAACTTCATAACTTTTAATCAAATCATAGAGGAAACCCTGGTATTTATTTGTGTTCTTAATGTTTTTACTTAAATGATTCTCCTTGGCTCTGTGTGATGGAAATTTGATATTTTACTGTGTTTACTGTTTCACCCTGCATGCTTCATCAGAATAGACCAGTGTTTCACTGTGTGGTATTTTATTATTTTATTATGTTAAAGAGAAGGCAAAGGAAGTATGCCAAATAAATGCCTCACAATGAGGGTGAAGGAAAACATAGAGAGACATACATTAGAGATGAAAGGTTATGTGTTGGAGTAAAAACTGGTAAACTGAGTGGGAAACAGCTCCTAAATCCTTCTGCCAGTTGTAAGATTTATGACTGAAACATCTATGGGACAATTTGATAAGTGGGTTCAAATGTGTTAAATGTAAGTTTTAGTTCAAAAATATATATATTTGGAGCAGCTAAAGACATGTTTGAAGAGAAAGGAAAGGAGAGATGCAGAAGAGCATGCAGCCTTGTCCAGAGGAAAACAAAAAACAAAAGAACAAAAAAAAAAAACAAGCTGAAATCTACCATTTAAGGCAGATTGCTATGTAAATTAAAATTAAGGGAAAGTGTAAAGACTTAAAACAGAACATTTGACTAGATAAAATAAGGATAAAAGGAAACTATCTAAAAGACACCATTAGAACAAACAAATTATCTCTTCTTTCACTGAGGTACACAAGTCATGGAATCCGTTCCGGCTGATCCAGTCCTGGACTCTGCTCCTCCTCCTCCGATATGCTCCAGTCCCAGATCCATCCAAGGATGAAGACTATGCTGATGTTAAAACTGCTGCAGAAACATGACACCATAAGCCAGAGAGAGAAGATGAACTAATCCAACATTAAAGACCTATAGAAGCAGTGTTCTGGTCCAGTAAAAGTAATGCAACACATTGTATTGTCCAGTCATGGAAATGCCATTTATAAAAGGAATATTTGGTATTTGGAATATTGTTGAAGCAATGGGTCACGTGACAGCCTCACATGCAATTGGAGCAGTTTGGACCGTTTATCAAAGGATGCCATAATGACTTAAGAAAGACAGCTGAGCAGCAAACCAGCTCAAACAACAACTCCACTTTGGACACCTGCAAGATTTCTACAATCTCAACAAAATACTTCACTCTAGCTTCACAAGAAAGTAGGCTGGAGCACAGAATGTACAGCGATGTCATCACTGGATAATTGCCACCTGTGGGATGAAGGCCAATCACAACAACATGT